ACTAGTGTTCCAGTATTCATAACTAAGTCCAGACAGTTCAAAATTTATAAATAGGAGGTATCTTTGAATGCAGCTAACTTGAGAGACTTGGGAGATTGCAGGTGGCACAGTGGTTTGAACCGCTGTGCTGCTGGGCTGGTTGATCGAAAGGTCGCCTGTTCGAATCTGCACAACGGGGTGAGTTCCTGTTGCTCCGCCCCAGCTCCTGCCAACCTTGCAGTTTGAAAGCATGCAAATGCAAGTAGATGAAAAGGCACCACTCCGGTGGGCAGGTAACAGCGTTCCGTGCACTTCAGTGTTTAGTCAGGCCGGCCACATGACCACGGAGACTGTCTGCGGACAAACGCTGGCTCCCTCCTAGGAAACGGAGATGAGCACCGCCCCCTAGAGTCAGACATGACTGGATGTAAGGTCCAGGGGAAACCTTTACCTCTAACTTTTAACTTGGGAGAGGAATAGGGAATATAGCATTTGTTTCTGTATCCTTATCTGGTAATTTCTAAACAGCTTATCATTGAAAACTGCATATGTGTCATTTTACAATTTGGATGTGTTAATGGACCACTAGATGTCTAACACTGGAGAACTTACATCTCTCTCATATTCCAACCAAAATACATTTCAGTAGTTCACATACTCAACTGCTAGTAAAGTGCAGTCAACTGAAGTGTGCTGGATATGTAAACCTACCCCTAGATCCCACTTAGTACAGAGTGTAATAGCTTTAGACTTGGTTTTTACATGACAATATAAAATAGCAGTCTTTTGCTAGCTGTAAAGGATTGTGTCCTTAATGCTGGAGGAAGTATGTCTTTTACAGTTGCTTTTTCGGGCTATTTAAATGCACTGAAAGCAAGTGAGAAATAAGAAAAAAATCACAGGTGATCAGAACAGATGTCCAGAAATTACTTACCAAGCTGTTCTGCTGACATGATCAAAGGTAGCCTTGAAGAGGAAGGTCTTCAAGGTCCAACCAAATGCCAGAGTTGAAGGGGGAACATGTATGTGAATTAAAAGGGAATGTCAAGATGGGACTACTGCTGAGAAGGCCCTGTCTCTAGTGCATGCCAAGCTTTGGGGTCTTAATGTGGAGCACTCAAGGACATAGAAAAAACCATGCTGAATCAAAGCACAGTGGTTAATTAGTTACCTGTGGGAAGGTTACAAGTAAATGAGTTCAGTAGCACCCTTCTGCTCATGGATCCCTGAGATAGATTATAGTATGTGTATGACTGGGCTGCATGGGTGGATTTTTAAGTGGAAAAGTCCCTTAGTGCAGGTGTGGAGAATGTGGACAGGTGGTGTTTAACACCACCACTCATCAGCTCTAGCCAGCATAGACTGTGGTGTTTCTATATTGTTAGTTGTCCTTTATCATCCCCAGAAAAGGTATAAAAACTAGGTAATAAGAACATTTTTATTAAAAAGACTAGAGATGAAAAATACCTGGAAATAATGAAACCATGGGGAAATGTTCCTGTAACCCTCTGTTCAGCACACCAATTTCCTCCATTTCCTATTAAAATTATTGAACTAATGCATCATTTACTGATATTTAGGGATGCTCAGTTTCCCAGCATGTGAGCAGAGTGACCATAACATAATATGGAAGAAGGCATGCACTCTTGAAAGTTTGGGTTTTGTTCTATGCACTGGTGTTGAGTTTGTTCTGGTTGCTGTAGCAGTCAAATAATGTTCTTATTTAAAAACCACGTGTAAGGAACAAAAAGCACTGTAGGTTATTCTAGCAGTATCACAAGATTCAATGGAACATTCCACTTACATTTCTCTATTTTGGAATGAACTTTGAAGTTTGGGTCTATAGAATTCACTGCCACAATTTTAAATAATGTTCTTTATTTATTTTATTTTATTTATGTATATCCTGCCTTTTTCCTACAAAGGGCTCAAGGCAGCTTACATCATTCTCCTCCTCTATCTTATCCCCACAACAACAACCCTGTGAGGTAGGTTGGGCTGAGAGTCTGTGACTGGCCCAAAGTCACCCAGTTGGCTCCATGGCTGAGTGGGGACTAGAACCCAGATCGGCTGAGTCCCAATCCCATGCTCTTAACCACTACACCACACTGGCTCTTAATTAGACCTTACTACTAAGAAATGCTGCCCTGGCTTGATGGACCTTTTAACTGCTGCCAGTGAAATTAACCTTCTTTGCCTAAAAGAAACCAAGCAGCCTGGTTCCTTATAGACATGGGATTGATAGTACCATGAAAGATTACTTTTCAAAATGAACAAAAGCTAGGATATTCATAAATTGTTTACGAAGTTAATAAAATGTCACTGTTCAAATAACTTGAGATTGCTTAAATGTTTTTCAATTACATATAGTTGCTTACCATTCCTAAGGTGTCTTTCCTAGTTAAAAAAAATATTAAAAGCTTTTCAGTTCAGATTTACCTGAGCTCAAGGCCTCAGATAAGGTTTAGTGGCTTCCGTAAACTTGCTTAGAAATAGGAACAGATGCTGTATGATAGTCTTTCCCTGCCTCCAGTTTTTCCCACTTCTTCTGTCCTCTAGAACTCCTCACTTGCTTCAGGGACTACTTACTGAAGTTCCCTTGGGTCAGACATTAAATAGGTTCCTAAAACATGTTCTGAATAACTTGGCTTGTTTATATGGTTATTATGGTTGGTGCATTAAATTTAAAAGTGTGGTTTATTTAGATAATAATTCCATATTTACTTAACAGAGTTTACTTTCAAATGACTTTAAATATAATGGTAATTTTGTGAGCAAACTAAGTTATGCTCCTTAAGTTTTATTATGTATAAAGGCTGCTTTATGTTCTCTCCAGTCTGATGCCCTCTGACTGTTTTAGACTATGGAACCCAGCATTCCTGATCATCGGCTATGTTGCCTGAAGGAGGTGGGAGTGGAAACTCAAGATATCTAGAGGATATCAGGTTGGGGAAGGGTTTCCTAGACTGTCAAAGTGAATTGGCTCTGTTAAAGAGCTCTGAACAGTCTCCTGTATTTCTTGTTTTTAAACATCTCCAGAATTTCATTTTTATGGAAAAAGGGAAATGGCTTTACAAATTTTATATCACAAAGTTCAGCAATGCCAATGTTGGCCTTAATGCATGACATTGGTTCAAGAAAATGTATGCAAGAACATGATTTTGGCAACAGTTGTTATTAGAACATCTAATCTGCAACACGCCCTTACAAAATCAGACAGATTCTGTTTGCCAAGCAGTATGAAACAAACAACAAAAGTATTACAAGTTTGTCTGTTTTTGAATTAGGGAAGGTATGTTATGTAAGAGAGACAATGGGATGCATTGCAACATATTGCGGTTTTAAATTGGTAGATGGATATGAGCTTGATCTGCAGGCAAAACAAACCAAACCCAGATTTAGATAATTGAACACCTGGAACAAAAGGGGAGGATTACCACCTTGCAATCATTTTGCTAGCCAATACAAATGTTTGGTAACCAGACTAGTAAATGCTGCATTGGACAAAATTGTTTATATTTGGTGTCAAAAATGCTTAATGGGTTCAATGTTATTTTCAGTGTTAGGCCTTAATTGACTTGACTGCTGTTGTTCAATCACAAATCTGATTAATTTGTGATCCTGGATCTGTCTAAAATTTAAACTATTGCAGTGAGAAGTGTGAGTGGAGTGGCGGAAACAATAGGAAGGGACACAGTTGCGGCTACTGCATATATACCCAATGTTGCCTAGCTAAATACTAATTGCAAAAAGTTTTGCTGTACCTGATTTTTTTTATGCGGGGGGGGGGGGGTCAGTTCATTGCACTAAACAGTGTGGAGGCAAACCAGTCTGTGTAGTAGTGTGTTGGCTGGAAAGGCTCAAATTTGCACTCAGCCTAAACAACCAGGCATGTAGCTGTAAGGCTGAAAGGTAGTGGCAGGGGTGGGTGAGAATAATCTATTGGTTTGATCTCCTTGTTGTAAAGATGGAATATAAAATACCATATTATTTAGCCATTGTGTTTGCAGACTAGTTTAGCAGCTCTGTCTTGCTCATGTTTTTCCTGGAGTGTTTGAAGATGCTTTGCCACACAGTTCCATTTAGGGTACAACGTTATGTATGGTTAGCCAGGAAAAAGACCTACAACTCTCAGCATGCTCCAAATCAGCCTTGTTTTCTGTCTGAACACGTGCTCCAAGTGGCTAAACCATCGCCAGTATTGGCTCCTGCACTGCTGACAAAATGAAGCTGTTACATACCAGGCCAAAACATGTTGTTTCCACAACGTTTTAAGGTTTAAATTGTTGTTTCAGTTGGTGTTTTATAGCTATGCTGTGCTTCATTTTATTTTATTGTAAGACCACCCTGAGACTCTCAGTAACAGGACGGTATAGAAAAGTTTCAAATAAATACCATGAGAAGAAAAACTCACTGGAGAAGATAATCACGCTAGGGAAGGTTGGAAGGTAAAAAATGAGGAAGATGAAATATGAATATGGATCAATTCCATCAAGGAAGGCACAGCTTCCAGTTTATGAGAGCTTAACATGGCTGTTACGGATAGGACATTTTGGAGAGCATCCCTCCATAGGTTGCCCCAAGTCAGAGCCTACTTCAATGCACTAACCACGAACTCGCTCGTCTGACAACGGGGCCTCCAGCAGAAATGCACCCTTGCCTTGCTGCCTGTGGCATCTTTTAGTAGAAGATGCCCGGGACTGAACCCTGCGTTTATTCACAGCATGCAAAGCCGAATCTTCTTCTGCCAGTGGCCCTTGAGGAACTCTTGCTTGCCGATGTCTGCCGCCTTGCAGCGTGCATAGGCTCGGGGTGGGGCATCTGAAGGTCTGCTGAGCAATCTGTAGCAAAACCCGTCTCATGTGAACAGGCGGGTTTAACGAGCCTTGCACCTACGTGCCCTCGCAAGCTGTTCGGCGGCTTAAGATAAGAGGCATGTCGGAGGGCCCCTTCGCGGAGGGAGGCGCTCGCCTGGCCCGCGCAAGGGGCGGGCCCCGCTGCCGATTCGGCTGCGCTCGCAGGCCCGGCCGCTCGCTCTTCGCCCTTCCTGAGCGCCGCCCGGCCGCCGTCCTCCCGCGGGCGTTGCCGGGCGGCTTGCCAGCTGCCCGCCCCTGCCGACGTGCGAGCCTCCGTCCCGGCCGTGGCGGCGCTGGCCACGTGGGCGCGGGGAGAGGCCTGGGGGCGGGCCCGGAGCCGGTGCTGCGACGCCGGCCCTTAAAGCGGCCTGGCGCTGCTGATAGTTTATCTTGTGCTGCAGCGGACGGCTCGGTGGCTGGGCAGAGGCTGGGGCTCATCTTCGCGAGGAGGCCGAGAGCAAAGCCGGTAGGCGAGTTACTGGGGCGTGCAGGGCGGTGGGAAGAAACGGGCTGCGGCCCTGTGCGCGCAGTTTGCAGTTAACGCCCGCTGAATGGAGGAGGATTACCGCCTGGACAAGCTTGCATTAGATCGGGAAATGGGTCAGTTGGTTGAGGGTTTTGACCGGAAGGCTATAATCCTGTGTAACCTTGGGAACCGACTTCATCGATCTCAGCAGGGGTTATTTTGAGTAAACATAGCAGTGGGCTGCAGAAGTTTCATACTTGCGTTTCCCGGTGCTTTATGCAGTTCTCCCCGTGTTAAAAAAAAAACCCCTCTCCTGCGTTTGGAATTCCTTGAAGAAACAGATGTGTGAATGGTGGAGATGTGGCTTCTTTACTTGGGTCCACCAGACTTGTGCACTTGTGCGCGTATCTGACAGCAATGTGCAGATAACTTTTTTGTGGGTTGTCCAAGACTTACAATGCTGGAGGGTTAGTCAGCCTAGGAGGCTGGAAAAGAGAAAGACAGGTACTGATAGTAGAGGTAGGTTTGGGTTGCAAGAATCCTTGGAAAAAGTTACAGGGGAGCGGTGCTTGAAATGAGTGGTTGGTGAGGAAGCCTGTTTCAATGGTAAAAACAGCAATGCACAGTCTGTTACCATTTGCATTCTTACTTAACAGGGGAATAGCTTAGATTATGTTGTGCATTTTTCTCTCTTTCATTTTTAGAATTGTCAATGATGATCCCACTCCAAGAGAGAAGTGGAAGCTCTTGCAGTAAGGAGCCCCTTGACAAGTGTCTTCAGGCTAAGAAGGAGTTAGAGGCAGCAATTGCTGGAATAGTCAAGGCTGAGCAGCAAGTTAAGGACAACTGGAGAGAGGTATTTGAATTACACTTTTAAGCCCATTCCTTGAAACCTCAGTATCTTGCAGAGATGATCTTAATTCATCTTCATGTGTAGTACAGACTTTTACGAAACCAGCAGTAGTTCCTCCTTTGCAAATCTTGTTTGTTTTACCATTGCTAACCTTTTCATATAGATAGAATAACATAGATGCCTGGAAGGCACGCTAATCTCCCTAATCCAAGTTGTGTGGCAGAACTTCTTGTGTTAGTCTAGGTGATTTTTTAAATTGCTACAAAAGTTAGAAATACCCATTACAGTTGTTATGTAAACTGTAAATAACTGCACATTGGAATTAGAAGGATTCTAATCAAAGGAATACACAAGAGCATAAGTACAAAGCACCATCACTTTCTGCACTCATTCCCAAACCACACTGAGAGAATAGTGTAGTTACTGAAGTCCACCTACCAGTGGCTGACAGGAGAAGCAATACCTGGCTGGAGATTGTCTCTCACTGTGGGAATGCAGTCCTCTCCCTTGTGCTGGAGGGATCCACAACTGGACAGAGTATAAAATTGTAATGATGTAAACAAGAGGCTTCAATAACTTGGGATAGCACGTAGCCAAATGTGGTTTTGTGATTTCAGTTTCAGGCACAGGCATGGCTTAGATGGAACATGCACAGACGTTGATTGGGTGTTGCATTTATCTTGCAGGTGAAAGCCAAGATCCACAGCTGCATAAGTCGCCACTTGGAATGCTTGCGCAGTCGTGAAGTGTGGCTGCTTGAGCAGGTAGATCTCATCCAGCAACTGAAGGAAGAAGCCTTGCAGCAACAAGCACAGCAGCTCTCTTGGGTAAGGTCTAACTGTGCACTTGATTCCGTTTATGCATGTGATCTGGAACTTGCAAAAGCTACAGTTGTGTAGCCTTGAGATTGTGCTGCTGGTTCATGACATCAGAACACAGCTCCATTTTTAAGCCTTGCTGATGTTGGTGCATTGAGGTTCTTGGTTAGTTACATAATAATATTTTGTCTATCTTGCAGTTGTTGGGACAATTCAGTTGTCTCATTCACCAGCTAGAACAACCTCACAGTAATGACCTTGCAAATCAAATCTCGGTGTGCTTGGAAAGGTAAGCAATTTTACAGGATTCAGTTAGTTATTACAGCTTGATGTTGGGCTTCAAATTATTTCAAATGCATGAAATTATGACATTGCAAACTCCATATCACTTTCTGTAAAAGAGAATTAATTTGATTTCTTAATAGGTTTCTTGCGAATACTGAACCTGAGCTTTAAAAACTGTGACCCTCTTAGAAGATTGCTTACAGTCAGTATGGGAATATAAACATCTATTTCTGTGGATTGCATTAGAATAGAGTTTTAATGATTTGGTTGAATCCTTTGTGCAATACAAAATGGATCAGTTTGTTCTTGTTACAAATCTTTGCAGCAAGATCAGCTTGAGTAGTGTCTTCTTTAGCTTGGGGCTGTGGGAAATATTTTGTGCTAATGATCCACATTCTTGAACACTTCATGAATTTTATTCAAACTCTTGACCAACACCACACTGTTTTCCCTTGCAGATTAGGCAGTTTAACTCTCCAGCCAGAAGAATCTTCCATCTTGAACTTTGAGGCGGATGTGCCATTCCTTCGCCAGGCCATAACATCCTTTGGCTCAATCACAACAATGGTAAGTAGAAGGGCTTTTCTCAAGGGTAGCTTCGTTTCATGTAACTGTCACTCGGAAACACAGAATCATCAGTCCAAAGATCCCAAGGAGCTGCATAGGGTTATATGGGAGCTCAGTGTCACCTCTTTTGGTTTGAACGGCAGGTAATCCTACCCGAGACTGCAGGCTGCTTCTGTATCGCCCATCAGCTTCAGAAGCAGTTTGACTTGGGGAGGTGCTATTTGAAGGAAGTATAAAAGGTCTGCCTGTACTCAGAGAACTAGCTGCAAAGCTCTGGATCCTAGTGAGTGACTGTCGTGTATATTAGTTTGTAAATCACAAACCAATACGTATTTGGCATCAAATTATGTTACCAGCTTGACATAGGAATAATTTTAAAATTTCATTGAACAGTTACGGCTAGTAAATTTAACATAATTCTGGGTTTGTTTGTTTTTTTAACACCAGGCCTCTGACAATGACTGTGCCCCTTGGATTTCTGTGCAGAACTGTCCAGTGATGGCGAAATATGAACAGGTAAACAAATTGTCTATCACAAATTTAATTGCATGTTGACAAAAGAACAGAAGCACTGTCTTATGCTTTCTATGGCTTGAGGTCTTCTGGCTTGAGTAGCAGAATGTAGTGTTGATCAGAGATGCTGCATGAGACGAGTTTGCTCTGATAGTCTAGCTCCCAGATTACCCTAAGTGTTTGTGGGTTTCATCTGTGGCGAGTGCCTGGAATGCTCAAAGACATAAGATTTGGTCTTATTTCATGGCGTACTTGGGTGCAGCTCTTTGACATGGCTGAATATTCAGTTCTTAAAGATAGCACTTCAGATTGTAAATGTGTAATGTACAAATTGTAGAATTGTCTTTCTGTACTTCTGAGATTTAGTAATGCTTTAGTCCCTTCTTAAAATGTACAAGGCTAAACTTGCTTTTATGGTATTGGCAGAAACCTTTGTATGGAAAAGTGGGCTGCCCACTCTCCGACTGGCTTCTAGGAAGCAAACCTGCTAATGCCTGCAGTGGTCCATATGTTCCTAGTAGCAACCATAAGGACTGGCTGTTGAATACACAAGTACGAGAGACCTTTCAGGTATAGTCTTATAACTGCATTAATTGGGAAACAGGATGTTCTAGCAGGCTGGAACTGGGGTGGAACTCTTCCTATGTTATCATTTTCATTATGCTGAGGTACCAATTGCCCCAATGCTAGAAAATGTTTGTTTGATTGAGCTAAACGTCTTGTGTGTGTCTGTGTTTGTTAGGATTCAAAGTCATCCAGAGAGTGTTACTTGGAGAATGCCTGGGGAGATCTGAAAGACTTGGAAAACTGGCTCCTACAGAACCAGCAAAAGGTTCCTGAGAAAATGGATTCCCGCCGACGTAAGAGTTCCACCTCTACAATTGACTCCTGCTTTTCCATTGAAAAGATAGATGAACTGGAGATCTTAGAGCAAGAAGAAATGGATCTTTCTGACTGGCTACTTACTTCTCCTGAATCAGAAAATGGTGGCTCAGAGGAGCGGTGGAAGGATGTGTTTAAGCCTTTTAGGGAGGAGTATAAGATCAGTGATTGGCTCCCCAAAGCCGACTCTTGCAATAATTGCTGTGGCAGTCAGGCAAAAGGCATAGAGATAGAAAACCTGGGCAATCTTAAGTGTCTCAGTGAGCACACTGAAGTGAAGAAATCACCCACCAATGAAGCCTGGCTTCTGCAGCCCTCTTTCAAAGTAGAAGATGTGTGTAGAGCTAACGAGTCATGCACTAGCTTTTCGGAATGTGTGTGTGATGAAAACTGTGAGAAGGAAGCTCTGTGTAAGTGGCTACTTAGGAAAGAAGGCAAGGATAAAAATGGCATGCCCATTGGTCAGGTGCCTAGCCCTGCCGCTGAGCCGGAGGAACCTAAACCTGAAGTGAACATCTGGCTTCATCCTTCCCGACAGCCAGCAGAACAGGTAGCTGCTTCTACAGTGAAACAAGACAGCCGTGAAGTTGTAGATCCATTGAAAGAACTGCTTGAAACCCCGTTATCAACATGGTTAGTCAAACCAGAAGTCAAAGCATTGAGCACAGAGGAGAAATCAAGCAGGGAGAAAGCAGAAATGAGTTGCAAGGGTTCTCTTCTGGAGTTTCTGGAACCATTCCACCTCCCTCTTAACATAACCAGCTGGTTGTTGCCTTCAAAGAATATAGAGACCTCCAGCCAGCCTCAAGTGGAAGACAAATGGCTGTTGTGCAAGAAGACACATGTATGTATAATGTTTAACTACTAACTTCTCTGGGGCCTTCTCTGCGGTGGCGCCCCACCTATGGAATGTGCTCCCCAGAGAGGTCCGCCTGGTGCTGTCATTTGCTTTTTGGCGCCAGGCGAAGATCTTTTTATTTAAAAGTTATTTTAACTGTTACTTTATTATTATTGTATTTATAGATTTTAATATATATAGCCAAGATGGTACCAGTTTTTAAATTATTGTATTTTTTATTAATGTTGTGAGCTGCCCTGAGGCTTTGTTGCGATGGGGGCAGCATAGAAATGTTTTAAATAAAATAAATAACTTAATATATTAAGGATGACCAGTAGCACAGCATGCGTTCAGAAGCACCTCTGATTTGCCATCTGTGGTGAGCAGCACATCTTGTTAAGATAGCTTTCTTGTGCATCTGTTAATTGTTCAAAGACACAAGATTAAGATAGTAAAGCTGTCTACAGTCCAGATGCAGTTTAATGGGGAAATCTGTTTTTACAGGACTGTGCCCTTCCTACAGTTTGTGACCTCTTTGCCTGCATGAAGTTAAATGGAGATAGAGAAAATTGGCTGTACCGGACTCCTTTACAGGTAATCATTCATAGTTCCCATTTCCTATTCAAGCTTAAGAGTCTGAACTCTGTCCTTTGATTGCCTGTTTGCTCATCTGTAAACATCCCAGGTTCCTGAAAGAATGGTTTAACACCTCTTCAGCCTGTGTGAGGCTTGCTACAACTTCTGAATCGTTAGATCTGTAACTGTTACCTTTCTCTGTTGTTTCTGCATCATGCCCCCACTCCTTCATACACACAGGCTTAAAAAAAAATATTTTTGCGCATCTTTCATTAATCCAACTGAATGGGAAGTGCTCTACGCGTATCACTTCAAAACAAGGAGTGGGGCTTGTGGCTATGCACACCTGGTGTTACAGACTTGTGGTGGCATCTGTGTACTAGGTCTAGGGCTGAGTAATAGGATGCTTCAGGAACGTAAGCATTCATTCCCACTGGAAGGGGTGGAGAAACCGTTACCTCGCATGCCTTTGAACCTGGCTGCCAGCACCTTTTGAGTTCTTCAGGAGGGAAGGGAACCATATCATGGCTCCTCTGTACAGGATGATACAGCCTGGGAGGCTCTATACTCCCAAACATCTTGGTTAAGAAGGGACTGCCCTCCCCTCTTTTTGACAGCACTACATAGGAATGGCCAATCCTACAAAATAGGTACATGGCCTAAAAATTTGGACTGAGTGATACATGCATGCATTGAACCTTTCCAGAACATTGTGTTGTTGCAGAAACTCAGCAACAGCAAAATGTTTCTAGTCAAGCTTCTGCCTTGTTTTAACATGTGAATTCTGACTTAATTTTCTAGATGTGAAAAACCTGAACCATTTGAAACAATTCACCTTTCTGCTGATCACCGCACATTTGTACTGAATGATTGCAGTCTTCCGCATTTATAGTTTGTGTGTGTTATCTGCTTATTCCAAGCATTTAACTCCGATTCTAAGGCTATTATGTAGCTGAATCATGGCTGCAGAAGTTGGGCTATGGAGTCAACTTGTACCACACAGAAGCAACGGCTCCATTGAATGCATTTCATGGACTATGACATGGAAGAGCTTTCCCTAGCTTGACACTTGGGAGTCCCTTAAAATTGTGAAATTTGATGCTATGAAATAACTTTCTGATATTTGGACTATACCCATAATAAAGTGTCTCTTGCTTTCTGTTCCCAGGGGATGTTGAGTGTCTGATAAGTCAGTAATCTGAATTTAAATTGAGAATTCTATTTGGCAGCAGTTTGTAAATGAGGAAAGATCTCACTTCAATCCAACAGCTTCTGATTATAAATAAATTAACACTGAAGGCCTTATTTAGTGGCTCTTATGCAACAATTATGTGATTCAGAGCTGTGTATTATTTTCTTCACTAAAAATGAATCCTATGCCAAGCATATCAATGAAGGCTGCCAGTAAATTTGGTGCCATCTTGTTTGATGTGGGAAATGAACTTGAAAATTGACCAGAGTGGACGAAGGCTTTTACATTTGTTTTAAAGTCAAATGTATGTCATACCCTGCCAAGAGTATGTTTTATGTATCAAATAGAAACTTTATTTAACTGGAGTTTCTTTTAATTTCATATACTCTTCGAGTGTCTTAACATGTTTAGATTAAGTAGCTTTGGTGTTCAGGGTAAAGAAAATGTTGCTTTAATACTGAACTTTAATACCACTTGCCTAATGTCCTGTGGCATGGAGGCATTTCTGATAAAGCTCTGATCTTGAGCACAAAATCTTATGTTTAAGATGTTCTTGGCTTAGCACAAATATACTTTAAGTGATTGGAGCTACTAGGCCTTCCACAGCAAATGGGTATTATTGTCACATGTCCATTTGCCCTTGACTAGTGCTGGAATGGTTTCAGCCATTTATTGAAATACAGCATTGAAAGCTTAATGTATTCTTAAGATTACTAACTTGGAATTGGTAATAAATCAAGCCCTTGCTGCCTCCTTGACGCTGATGAAGTCTCCATTAAACCATTGCTGTGAACAAACAAGGCCTCCTGTTTACATGAATCTGTCTCTTCAGAGCTGTATTTGGTGTTTGTGTGTGACTCTTCACTTGCCTCTGTATTCCTAATTGCCTTGCTTCTAGTAACAAGACTTCTTACACAATTGGAACACTGACACTTCCAGACAGTCTTGGAGTTTACAGGCTACACAGCGCTCAGCTACTGAACAACCAGTTTAAAAAGGAGTACCTAACAGGTATTCAAGTGAAACAAGTCTTCATTCTGGTCATACAGGGTTCCATAGAGCAGTGGCTTTCAACCTTCCCACAGCTGGGGACTGGTGAAGACGGGAAAACCACCTCAGGGAACACTGAGGCAGAAACAAAAAGCACAATACACATAAGATTCTGTATATTAGTTTCCAAACACAATAACCCCCCCCCCAAATCTCCAAAACAACCAGAAACCAAGCAACAAAAATAGTGAAATCTGCCCAGTGTGACTCCCATTGAGCCCTCCCTGCCTGCCCCTCAGTGGTGCAGGTGTCCCCCCACCCCACAAATGTGATGCCAACCAAGGAAGAGGTGATAAGCGGGATATGGCCCACCTGCAGACCAGTGGTTGAAAACCACTGCTGTAGCTCACCAAACCACCATCAACATCCCCATCTTCGGATTTTCAGCAGCAATTGCCTTTCTATGTCAGAGCATTAATAACTAGAAAGTTAATTAAAAATAAGAACCAGAAAGTTTAATTCTGTTGAATATCAAGTGCTGGGCTTATACAGCATTCTGACCGCCACCTGAACAGCTGGTAACAGGCACCCATAACTTAAGCAGCTTCCGTAAGTATCTGAAACCAGATTAGTAACATTGATTTTGAATGACTGCTGAATGTTTTCCATCTACCTACCTACCTACCTACCTACCTACCGTGTTGATCCTTTCTGCCCTGGTGAGGACACAGATGCCTTTTACAAAAGCAACACCAGGTATTGCTGAACAGGGGCTTGCATAAATGGCCCATGTTGGAAGAAGTAGTTAATACAGGGACAAAAACTTTTATTAGATTCAACTCAAACAATGTGTCAGTACACAAACCTGACTGCGTGGCATGGATGATTACATGATCCAAGGAAAATAACTGGCCAGGGCAAAAATGAGCATGCTGCAGAGATGAAGTCTTCACCCTCACAGACAAGGCAGCACTTGTCAAAAACTAACTGCGGTGGAATTCTGTAGTCTTACTGTGCTCCATTCTGTGTTGCACTGAAGGGATCCAAGTCTGAATGCACTCAATGAGTAGATAATTAGTTCTCAGCTCTGCTCAGAGCGACTGCCTTTGAAATGAGCCCTTCATATGCTCCCAGTTGTTGTAGAGCGCGTAGACGCTGGTAAGCATCAGTCCTGCCATGCCACCTCGTGCCAGCCCACGTAATCCACCTGTACAAAAAGATTGATAGTGACAATAAAAGAAATGGCAGGCAACGGTTATGTGGACTCGGCAATATTGGAGCATTTGAATTGAATGTGGCACACACACAATGTAAATGTTCAGCAGAGACGGATCTTAAGACTATTCTTGTACAAACGCTTATCTATTCAGTTTTATTACTGGATTTACATCCAACCTTTCTTTTTCATTTGAAGGGGGCTTAATTGTATTCCTCCTCTCGATCTTCTCTCCACAACCACTACCCTGTGAGGTCAGTCTGTGACTGGCCCAAAGTAACCCGGTGAGCTCCCTGGCTGAGTGGGGACTAGAACCCAGATTGCCTGATTCCCAGTCCTGTGCTCTTAACCACTGCACCACACTGGGTGAGTGTGAGCCTCATTTTGGGGGGAACAGTGGCAAAGGAAAAGACTGCAAACATCCCATCTCCGAGATCTTTTCTTTTTGAGGCCTCTTCCTTCACCCTGCCCCCAACGCAGTAAAGTTTAAAAGGATAACCAGCTTTGAAAAGGAACACGGGCAGGAATCAAGCAGGATTTTTGCACAGTACAGCTTCCAGACAGATAAGGGACAGATGTAGAAAGCACGCACAGTGTGAAAACCCTTTTTGTTCTATATCTGTATTTCTGATTATCTCAGTACCAGAACTGCATTCAGAGTACAGTGAGTAGGATTTGAGGCACACTGATAAGGGAGCAGATCCAAACTTCTGTTGATTTCTAGACTTGCAAAAAGGAGGTGGTAAGTTTGCATCAGAATGCATGTTCTGCTGTTAAATCAGAACACTAAAAGAGCCTTATATGGCAGGAATGATCAGCTAGTGTGTTTCCGCCTCTCCTTCACACACTCATAGCCTTGCTCTTTAGAATAAAAAGAGCCTTGTGGTAGCTCCCCAAGGTTAGTTGAGAGAGATGCTCAAAGCAGTCAATATTAGCAGAATTTAAGTGAAGATTAAACTAAAAATTAAGGCACTAATTCAGATAAGCTGTATAGCTGTACAAAGAAAGCTCACATGGCACCTGTAAGAGTTCCTTCTTGCCAGCCTCTAATGGCAATCCAATATGAAACTATGGGGAACAGGTTCCACCTAGCTCAGTGAAGCTTTTTCCTGGTTAAGTAGATAAAGTACTGAAGTTGACATATTACTAAAATGCTTAAAACTAACATTTCAAGGATATTAGATTTAAATGGTTTCCCATGACCCAAAACACAGACCAAAACAATTTGTATGTGTGGAAGGGGAATTCAGCATCCCACCCAGACTCTTTTTTGTAGAATATATGGGGTATAAATAAAAGCAGTTCATGAAATAGCAAAAGCTATAGAAGTCTCAGGTCAGCACCTCCAATGAGTGCCAGAAAACCCCGTTCTTCACTAAACTCCTGTTTTGCAATGCTATTGCCCAATATACAAATTAAGGGAGCCTGAAAAATGGGGCAGAAGAACTAAGCACTAATCTATATCCAAGTTCCTTATAGAAAACATAGAAACAGAGCGAGTCTGACCCCCGGCTCTAGTCAGCTCCGCTCACGACCTGAAATATGGTTTGTACTTGCAGTTGTAACATTTGTGGCCAGAAACATTCCATGTTAATTGTATTTGACAAAAACAATGCAGAGCCATCAGGAAAGAAAGTTTTGAGACTGTCTAACCTGAATGTTTAGAACTCTTCCCTGTCCCTTCTAGTTCTGTTCAGCAAGTGATAGGCTGAAGTATTTCTCCACCCCTGCAATCACAATTCTGCTAGCTTCAGATAGCAAGTTGACTTCAGCGAGTCAATGAAGCATGAAACTACACTGGAACATTTCTCCATTTTACAGAGTCATGTACTTCTAGCAGCCAGGTTACAGAGTATTTCCACAGGTTTTGTACTGCATAGTTGACTTATTAATTCCAATTAATTTCCAGATATTACAGTGACATTTCATCTAAATGTCACATAGCTAGATAAGAATTGCTGTCAGTATTGCAGTAGCATGTGTCATTATGAGAGCAAGTAAAATTGTTTTGCCATTTAAAATCATTAAAAGAAGCCCTCAAAGTCAAGTAATCTTTAAATAAACAGTACAAATAGCTTTATTGCTTTGAGAACATCTGACTGTGTTAGATATGCAGTGTTCCATTGCAGCTATACTAGGCAGAAGTTCAAGCAAATATATTTAGATGTAAAAGGTAGATAAACTTAAAGGCACCAGCACCATTTCCCCATAGATATCAAGCACCCTTTCAGTTTTGTTTTGACACAACAGACTCATGTAGGATTTTTACTGAATTTTAATACCTAAATATGTGCAAGATTTCCTGGGGGGAACCATGCCAGTACAGATATTTTTCTTCAGATACCTTTATCAACGTTTTACAGCTACAGACTCAGATCATTCCACATACTGTGCACACCCTTCAAATAGTTTATATTAAGAAACAGTTCTACGATTTTAGCCTATTTGGATAATTTTCAAAACATCCCCTTATCTATGCTGCCAATAATTAAACTTGTAAGATTAAAACTTAAAGCTCTGCATATACTTTGTGTTACTTTGTGTTTACCAATACTTGCATAGAAAAGCTGGCCTTATTCACATGTAATAGCCATCCAGACTATAGAATGTTGAACTCTGGGTTCTTAACCTCAAACAACCTAGGAAGGGAATCCAGACCCTACAGTGATGGCTGGCAAGAATGGTTTAAAGCAAAGCAAAAAAACTGCTCTACACACTAATAGTACCACCACACCATAATGGCATTTGGGATAGAGGAAGTAGGCAAAGCAGGAGGGAAACAACCAACCCAGGAATGGAGCAGCTGCAGCAAATACATTCATTTTATGGAACTGCTTTGCAAATCATAAACTCTGGGTAAAGCAACACCCTTGGGTGTTATGACACACAAACTAAGTGACTGGTTCTCCAGAGCCAGAGAATTACTTCAGATTTCTATTGGCCCTATTCTAGGATTATTTCATTGCCAATGTATTTGTTAGACTAGATTATGTAATCTATTGTTATAATTCAAGTACTTGGGTCAACTGCTGTTTACTATTTGAACATGAACAAGTCCACACTGGAACACTTGTGTGGGGATTTGAGTGCTGGACTCGGGACTAGGGAAATCTGGGCTCTAGTCTCACTCAGCCATGATGCTCCCTGGGTGACCTGGTGCCAGGCACTCACTCTCAACCGACTTTACCCCACTATGTTGTTTTTGTAACGATAAAAATGAACCACCTCAGGGCTTGCACGTGAAGAAAGGCAGGGTATAAATGCAATATAATCACCATACTATTTGGAATATATACCTTCATTTAATTTTCCTGGCTTTTCTTGCCACAGTGAATCCGTAGCAAAGTGCCTCATTTTTAAAAACTATTACAAGATATTTCCACCAGAAAGGAAAAAAAGAAATTTATCCCAGGTTCTAGAATTCTTGTCTTTTAGCCCTGGATAGTTTTCTTTCAACATTAATGCAAGGATTTTAAAAAACCCAGACCCCACTCAGAGGTAGAACTTTTGCACCAAGGTTTCAGATTCAGCTTTCATGAACAAGTTGGGGAGAAATCCAGGAGGGTTCCTCATAATCCTCTGAGTTCAGAAGGTTGCTGATTCTGGCTGTCTACCAGCAGTGTTTCCAAAGGGAAGGAGACTGAGGCAATGCTGAGATAGAGCACATCCTGATTGGGCTGCTCTCTTTCCACCAACCAGAAGGCAACCTGTGTAATTCTTTTCACCCTGATCACAAGGGGGATTTGTATATAGATTTATCTATCACCAACATGTCATTAATGACACAAAACTTTAGACTCCAAAAACGCCCAGTATAGTCAGCATTTCCTAACAGGTGTACTTCCAACTCTTGTTTGCAAAACCAAGATTAAGGATTATTTTGCCAACGTACCTGTGCTTTTATACAGCATGCCCGTCATGGTCCCAGCAGCAATTGTGTTCAGGTCATCCTCTGCACCTCGTGTTTTTTCTATGATAACTCCAAATGCGCTATACAGTAGTGCTGGAATGGAATACAAGTTGCCAGTCAAACAAACAACACCACTGCACTAATCACCCAGTAAGATTTCAGTACACTATCTTTTCTAAATTGATTAGACCTAAAAAGTTCTGATTTTTGTATGGAAAATAAGATTTTCCTTTAAATGGCAGGTAATAAAACACTGTAGTTGACATAGACCACAATAACTGACATGAGTATGTGAAGGTAAGGCAGGTTGGAAAGGTTTGTGAACTTATTTGCTAGCCTGAATTAGGTTAACAGGTTGTTCAGGATTTAATTTTCATTAATCTTGGGCTCCCTAACTGGGGTTCCCCAATCTTGGGTTGCCCAATTTAAGTTGGAGGACTATTTTATCACTTTACAGCTACACTACTTAATGGCAAACACTTAATGGCAAAATAAATAAATGCAAACAAGTAATGGACCAAAAAAATTACATCCCTTAAACTCCCACCTCCTGCTGAAGCTATGACTATTTTAGACAAAATGAACAGGGACTTCTAACAAAGCTAAAAGGTCACGAACAAACATCAACAGGACAAAATCCACCTTCCTGTTCCTCTAGTACATATCAAGACTCCTTACTTCACACTGGACTTTGAGAAAGCAGATACAGAACAAGAGGCTACTAGTTTGTGCTCTTTGAACAGCAGTTCATCATACAAAATCTTATTTGAAGTGAAGAAAGATTCTGAAACAGGGTTTTTCTACCCAATGGGATTAAAAAAAAAACCCTAACAAGTGCCACTAAAGTCTAAAGTAGCCTATGAATTCCAGCCTATGTTTAGAAAACCAGAAAATATCAAATCTTTCTCCTTAAAAAAAGAAAAAGCAGTAGTCAGTTTAAGCACGCTACTGATATGGTTAAGACAAAGTATTCCATAGTTTTACCACAAGTTTGTATTGTTATATTGGGCTTCTGGCCATTTTGGGCCGATGGGCACATTTGAAATTTGAAGAAAGTATCATGGGTGCTGCCACAAAATGGTTGCTGTGATGGGCATGGCCAGCCACCAAATACCTATTCCACAGAAAGCCAAACTTGCCACCAAGCAAGCTGGTGAGGATAAATGGCAAAGAACTCTGAATATGAAGCAGAGCAAGGCTTTGAGCCTCAAAACACAAATCCTCTTTCTGCTCCAACAAAGGCACATTTCACAATGAAGCAAACTGCCGGGGCAAAAAGACAGTAACTTTTCCAGGAAACTGACTATGTAATATAGGTGGGATAGAGTGAAAAGCCACTCCTTTTATTCAGAATTCCTTCCCAAAATTTCTCTGTCTCTCACACAATTCACTCACTGCGTTATTCTCCTCTTCTTTTCAGGATCACCCTTCCCAAATAAACACACACACTCTTTCCTGCTCTTACTTCTCACTTTTTAACCCCTTCCATTTCTCTTTGTAGCTGTAGATAGGGTGCCTTCCTTCCCTCCCTCCCACCTCACTGGGTTGCCTCTAGGCCAGCCCTCTCCCAGTTTTTTCACTGTTGTCCTCATACCTGCCCCCTTAATAGCCAGAGGCAATGGAGTTCATCATTCCATCCCTTTCTCTTTTTCCTGGATGACTGCAAGTCCCTCCAAGCAAAATGCTGGCTTCTAGCCACTCATCATCTTATTTCCTCAGAAATGTCCACATCCTGAGTTCACGTGGGGCCCAGAGGCAGCCTGGGGAATAATGACGGCAAGTGACTGGAGGCCGGCACTTCTCTTTGAAGTGCTGCAAACCACCTGAATTTAAAAATATAAAAACAATAATCCAAGAGTTAAAAATCGCAGGTATTGGTAGGGCACTTTGTGGGGTATAGGCAGGGAAGTCTGCAGGTACTGGGGTGCCTGTGGGTACCCCACTGTCTACTCCAATGATTCAGAACTCATGAAAGAAAGCTATTTGTTTTCAACTGCTGTGTACGCAAGCAGCTGGAGAAGAAAATGACTGAGCTGGGGTGCAAACATAATGACTTGTACCTGAAAGAACATTCTGGAGTTCAGAGGAAGTTTCCTCTCTCTGCCTTTCCTCCAAACCCCTGCACCACTGCCCATGTTGTTTAAGAATGCCACTGTACCCTCTGACGAAGCTTTGTCGCGGTGCGGGGGGGGGGGGGGCACACATGACACAGAGGCAGTAGGAGAGAATGGGAAATATTCCTTCCATGTACCTCCTTAAAGTTATCTTTGGCCACAATGTGGATTAGCTCATGACTGGAATTCAGCTGACCACAGTGTAAAAGGACTGCACATGGGAATAGGTATGGGTGTGTGTGTGTAAGGGAGAGTACTAAAAGATGCAAAGTTCATTCCGGTAATGGTAGAAAATGAGACTGTGCAGCTCCAACAGCACCACAGTGCTCCTTCTGAGCTGAGCTAGGCATTTCCACAGCAGCAAAAAAACCAAAAAAACAAAAAACAGCACAGATATTTCTAAAGGGAGAACTATCTTGCTAGGGTGGCTTGTCATTAAGAAACCCTGGACTCATTTTAACTGGATCAGGCACAGATCAATGGCAAATAGGAATATACTTGAGTTATGAATTTAAACTGACAGTTAAGATTAAGAATGGCAGTCATATTGTTGTATTGTCCAAAGCTGCTCAGCTAGAATTCCAAATGGATTGACTTATACTATTCACAAATAGCAAACAGAAAAAGCAGACGTTAGAACAAATTAGCTCAGTGAGATACCTGTTCTAATTGCTTTCATTACACAGACAGCACTATTTTAAAAGTGCTGATTGGAAAGTCAATGGCTTAAGTATCCCAGTCTCATACCAGAAACTAAGGATGGGGAGAATCTCTCTCTGTCTCTCATACGATTTTCTAGTATGACCTTCACTACCTTTTCTCAGAATTCTATACTATTTGCAGAGCCATCGCTACAGGAAGGTCAGGGTAAAGGACTAGGAAAAACAAAGAGACATTACTAAAGAAAATAAACAGCTGTGAAACATCTGTTAATGTATCACTTGCAATACCAGAATCTTGAACTTTGCCATCTTTAAACAGAAGTTGCAATTTTCCAGTGCTTCAGTTTATGATTTCTCTGCTAACAGGGGGAAGGAGGGGGAAAAAACTTGGAGGCGGCCTGCTTTTTCGATGACAAGTAGCACTCTTTCAGATCTTAATCCCCCCACCCCACCCCCACCCTGTAGTACCAGGCTCTGAAGTCATCCTGCACTTTATTAATGCAATCACTGGTTTCCCAGAGATGGGAACAGTCAGACTACAATGGAATTGCCATCAATCTCTTAGACTTCCAAATGTACAGAGAAACTCAACTGAGTTACTCATGCATAGTCAGCTGAAGGAACAAACTTACGTACCTAGAGATCCAAGAGTGTTAGCCCATAATGCTCCTTGCCTGGTCACCATATTTAGAATCCTACAAGAAAGTGAAGTGAGTTAGAATATTACTTCATAATATGGTATTGTTTGCAGGCCCAAGGAGCACCACATACCATTGACCTTTTGTCTGTTACCGTCTATTATAGAACTCTCTGTGTTCTATTCTGCAATAGTATAAAAGGACGATTAAATTCTTTCCACACAGAATCAAGTCTTGCACAAACCTTGGATTTCTTACATGCAAACTTTGCAAGTTTTACTAACATAAGAACTGGTTTAGAAAGTTTGTAAAAGTTAAATTAATTTTATTATTTTTGCATGAATCTGCCTCCCTCACCCCGGCAAGACAGCTTAAAGCAGAAATATGTGAAGGAAGTGGAACCATGTGGGGCACAAATGACACTATTGATCAATTTTGAGGGGAGGAACCACAGCTCAGTACCAGGAAGCTCTGGATAATACATTCAGGTAGCCGATAGTATAAAGTCTCTTCAAGAGATCCTGGGGAGGCAGAACTGTTTGGAATAGATCAGAGACATGCAACCTGTTTGCAATTTGAAAAATGTCTTTGACAGAACCCTAAAATGGCTGACATGAGACACAGCTGGTTAGAAAGGACAAGTAACTTATCTACAAGTTGAAGTACAAGGCAGAGATGGGATGCGTCCCCATATTGCCTTCAAATACCTTTGAACTCAAGTTTCCAGCACCAACAGACACCTGTATCACATACTCACCAGTGAGAGACACACCTGCCCCAATGTAACAGGAGCCTGCTGGATCAAGCCAAGACTCTGTGCAGTCCAGCATTCCATTCACACAGCGGCTAACTAGCTGCCTATGGGGCAGGATGCGAGTTTAACAGCCTACTCGCATTCACGTTTCCCAGCAACCGCTGTCCACAGGCACAGCACCCCGGACACTGGAGGCAGCACACAGCCAACGGGGCTGCTAGCCATGGACAGCCTTCTCCTCTATGAATTTGTCCACGCTCCTTTCAAAATCACCCAGAAGGGTGCCTGTCACTACATCCTGTACTGGTGAGTTACATAGGTTTATGCACTGTGTAAAAAGTGCTTTGTCTTTATCTCCCACTAATTAACTTCATGGCATGAACCCAGGCTCTAATAGGAGAATGAATCTACCCATCTATCCTCTCTTACACACATAGATGCATGCATACATACACACACGCGTGCGCTTCCCTCCCTTCTCAATACAATCCCCACATACATTTCAAGATTCCTGTAAGATCTCCCCTCATACACATTTGTATGTATCCATTCAGACATGCAACTACCCAGGGCACCCCATCGCACCCTTAGCTGCTCCTGGCTAGCTCTGCCAGGCACCACTGTTCCCTGCTGGTTACCCTGACCACAGACTTTCCTAGCCTCCCATCATATTCTCTTTAGCCTCCTCCCCATATTAGCTGGAACAGGATTTCCCTGTTCTTGCTGAGTTTGCTAGGAAAGCACTGGTCTGCTGCTCCCCACCATCCCTGTTCTGTCTTTAAATAGCAGGCCTCTTTGCCTTACCACAAACTGCTTTTGGAAGTCCCACAACCTCAAAAGTGGTTTGCCTGGTGGCATGAAGAACAGCAGTTCACAGGGCCCTCTGTTCTAGTATTCGGATCTGGGCTATGAAGTATAGTTGGTTATTCATGAACGCTTAATTACTCCCACTAACTGAGGTTTCTCAAGAAATGTCATGGGACACAAACTCAATATGAGTAGCCAAAAAGCAAATATTTACACAGGCATTTCTCTTATTTTTATAAATGTATATAAAAAGAATGTTCACTGGAATAGGATTCCAAAACTATCTGTACTTGGTAGGTCTGAAATCAGGGCCACACATTCTTAAGAGCTTGGATTGCTCCTTCTGAGATATATTTCTATTAATATACCTAGGAAAGTTTTGTTTTGGTATTTCTGCAAACCTTCAGGTCCTCCTGAGTGTATCTTTCTCCCCAGCAGCCTTGTTTGGCTATAATCTTGTTAGCACTCAGCTGCTGGGTTCAGTATTAGAAAGAGTAATAATAAGATTTCCAATGTAGTTGATCCTGGGTTGATTTACATCAAGGTCCTTGAAAATTCCTCAGTGAGAGGGTTGTACCAGTTCCATTACAACAGGCCATAATTCAACCTCTCCTGGAAAAAAAAACTTACCCTGGATACAACCAAAGATGAAAACAACCGCAGACTGATTGCAAAAATCCTGTTCCAAGGCAAAGTGCTCAAGCTGGTGAACAGGTTTTTCTAGTTCTATTCCAATTGCATTTCAGATAATGGTTTTTGAATGGAAACTGTCCTGCAGGGTGGCCTCTGTTGAGACACAGAGGATCCACAATCCTTTAATTATCTTGGACTTTTCAGTGCTTTTGATAGCACTGAGTAAGTGGTCTTCTGACAAACCTGCCTATGTTGGGAGTTGGAGACACTGTTTTAGAATGATTTTTCTTCTTAGATAATTGATACCAGAAGGTAGTGCTGAAGGATTATTACTCTATCCCTTGGTAGTTATATAGGTTTTAATCTGCAGCCAGGGTGGATCTGGATTTTATTTGTATTATGCTTTATTTTATTCTTCTTATTTATGTAAGCCGTCCTGAGGCTATGCGAAAGGACGGCATACAAATACTCTAAACAAATAAATGAATAATAGTTAGGCTTTGGGGTCCTGCACTGCTTGACTTAATACCCATGCTGTTTAATATCTATATGAAACTTCAGAGAGATCATCAAAAGGTGTGGGCTGAGGTTCAAAAAATAACTTGAGATGACATCCAGCTCTCACTGTCTCCTATTCAACAAAGCCACCTGATTTACTGGGCATTTTAAATCAGTGCTGGAGATTTGTTGGAAGAGGACCAATAACACTGAGACTCAATCCAGCCAAGACAGAGGCTTTGTTAGTTGGTGGTTTGTTTGCCCTGTTACACGGTGTTAAACCTGCTTTGGTGGCTGTTGTATTGGCACAAGTATTCTGCAATCCAGCACTTTTACTATAAGCACAAGAGGTCTGGGTGGTTCCAACAACTTTTATTAGCTTAGGATGATACAAAGACAGAGTTGCTAACTATTTATTTATTCATTCAGTTTTACATCTTAATTTGATTTAAATTGCTTTATGCTTGTTTATTATAAGCTGCCCAGAGCACCCACAGACTTTATAAAATGCAAGCAGCAAAACCACTTCTGTATAAAGCCAAAGTCATACAATCTACCAGATATTAAGTCAGTGCATGTTGAATGTTTGTGTATGCTTCCAGACTAGTGCTGAGCAGGATGGTTATCTGCTCTGCACACTCTCAGAGAAGCACAGCACTGCCCCACACTGGTGCCAGTCACCTCCAGAACGCAGGCAATGACACACAGCTAAAAAAAGAGTGTACTTTTATCTCCCAGCAGTGTAACACTGTCACAGACACAGTATTGAAAGACAGCTGACTATCGCTGGAAGTAAGGGACAAACTATAGTTCAGATTCAAAGGCAACTTTCAGCATGTGCAAGATGCCTTCCACTCTTTAATTTTGCTCCCTTTACTGGAAGACTGAGAAAGGAAATGTGAAGTAAATCAATGATGTTTATCCTGCTGTAAAGGGCCTTGCATAAGAACCCACAGGTAGAATTTACCTATCGCAGCACTGCACAAATACATCTTTTAGTGCATATGCACATGTCCTGCATATCCAGCAAATCATAGGAGAACAAATGGTTGTGCATCCAAGGGTCATTCTGAAACTTCTGAGTACAGGACAAAAAGGAGCAATTACTGACAGCTGAATCATATCTAATTATGGAATTAAGTACTTACTGTACATTTCTAGGTTTGGACCAAGCCATGCTTTGTGTCTCCTTCAATCCCATCCTGAGGCCATTCAGTGCACCAAATGCAGCTCCTATTAAGGCAGGACATCAGATTACCTACTGCAACTGAGAACTGAGCTCACATTCCGAAAGGTGAACATGTAGCCTACAGAAACATTCATCAATAAGAATCATATGCTTCTACTGAAAAGGTTTGCAAGAGTATATCATAGCCGTTGTATTAGATTAGTGAATGGCAATGCTATTTTACAGACATTGTTATGGAGTTCTTGGTGAAGGAAAGTGCCAAACACATCCCCCAGCCTCTTTGCTCTAAGCCTTCCTTCCAGCACATAGTGCTTGTTCTGTTTTTTTTTTTTTTTTTTTTTTTTAAATCTTTGCCTCTGCCTTTTCTATGCCATCACATCTATTCTCTACTGGGAGTAGGTGGAAAAATATTGGCTTAGTCAATGCCTAAAAATAGGTAACAAATGTGGTAGAAAATAAATGGAAAACTGTAGCATTTTAGTAAAATACCACCACCACTGCTTGTGCAGCAATGTTCAACATTTAAACCATAAAATGGTAAAATACTGTTATATGCAGTAAAGCAAAATGCTGCATCGCTTTTTGAAGACATGCTAAGCATACCATGCCACGATTGAGGTCAGTATTTCATGTAAGGTCAGTATTTCATGTATGCTTCCAGACTAGTGCTAAGCAGGATGTTATCTGCTTAGCACACTCTCAGAGAAAGCACAGTACTGCCCCACGCTGGCGCCAGCTGCCTCCAGAACAGAGACTCTGACAAACAGCTCAACTAGACAGTACTTTCATCTCCCAGCAGCATAACACTGTCAGACAAGGTAATGATGCAGACAGCTGACTACCGCTGGAATTTAGGAACAAACAACAGACTCGTTTGCATTAACAATTAAGGCCCTACATTTGCTACAGGGAACATCTAGAATACCCTCCGACCTGTTAGCTTCTGTCAATGACACTTAAAATATTAAACTGACCAAAGCTTATAGTATAGGAAAGATTCCCATAAAGCAGGATGATAAATACAGTCATGATCCTGCAGCCTGAAAATCACAGCACTGTTGCAGCATAACACACTGTGACACAAGCTTTTGTAGTCTTGTGGTACCAAAGCACTGTTGCAGCATAACACATCGTGACACAAGCTTTCGTAGTCTTGTGGTACCACAGGACCCTATTGTTCTGGCTTCAACAGAGTGACATGCATCCTGCCTAGAATTTGCCAGTATACTTTGTCATTAGGAGATTGTAGGCAAGGTGTCATCTGCATGCTGTTGATGCCCAGCTCTACTTCTCTGTGATATCTGAACTGCGAGAATTTGTGCACATTCTGAACCAGTGGCTGGATGCAGTTAAGAGATGGGCAAGAATTAATAACCAAAGCTATGTTCCGGTAAGTCAGAGAGCCTATGGGTTGGCAGTTCCCAGGTCCAGCAACTGGGCTTTTTGCCTGTCCTAGATGGGGCTGTGTTCTTTCTGAAAGAACAGGTGTACAGTTTGGGGAAGTTTCTCGACCCATTCAGTCGCCTGGAGTGCCCATTTTCAACTTTGGTGCACCAACTATTACCATGCTCCTCCATCTTAAAGCACATTATATTGCTCTGTGCTATTACTGTCATTGGAATTGTTTTAACTGTTTTGAATAATATATTTTAAATATGATTCTAATATTTACATGTGAACTGCTTAAGGATATTATTGCATTAAATGATGAAGTATCATGATTAAAATAAATCAGTATAAAGCACCAACGTTTACATTGCTTGTGTCAGTTGTAAGATATATCAACTCACACAAACCAGTTACCAGAGTCTGACATACACCAAGTATAAGATCCCTTTGGGACGAAGAGATAAAAATAATTTGCAAATAAAGTACTGAGGAAGTGGCTATGCTCACATACACATGCATTAATTCTATTTAAAGTATCAGCCAAACGTAATGATATAAATTACAAGTAGTTCTGTACCTGTCATGCAGCATCCTCCAATTGTAAAGAATGCCAGCTCAAACCTGCCCCTAGTTTTGCTAGCTCCAGTAGGTAAAATAAATTCATCTGTATCCTGAAACAGAAATATACCTTTAAGTTTATATTTATGAATTACCTTGCTTTATAAAAATAAACACGAAATCAATTTTACAATAATGTTATAAGTGCTACAGTTACTTGCATATTGTCAAAACAAAAACTAAAGAAAAAAAATCTGTGCCCTATACTATCATTTAGCCCATCAGTTGCCCGAATGAAATATTAGCTAAAGGAACAACTACATATCTTAACCAGATAATGGTTTTTACAGACATATTCTAGAATAATAATAATAGTCCACAGCAAATTAGAACCTAGAGCATAATACTAAACACACTATTACTATAAGCCATCAACATGGTTGAAGTGCTCATATTTGTCTCAGGGACAGATGTAAAAAATGCACCATGTGCCAGTATCACTCACTTATAAATTGCAAAATGATCCTACATGGAGCAAAACTTGGTTGTGTATTCTTGTAAGGGATACTCTACCACCGAAGCTAAAATCCCTGCATGCCAAACATATGTGAATGTGTCTACACTAGCACTGAGCAGGATGCTATCTGCTTAGCGCACCCTCGAGAAAACACAGTACTTGCCCAGGCCGGTGTCACCTACTTCCAAAACAGAGACAATGACAAACAGCTAAAATATACACTACCTTTATCTCCCAGTAGTGCAACACTGTCACAGTCCCTGTACGGACACAGACAGGAGAGCACTACTGGAATTTAGGATCATCATCTTCTCAGAACCACTGACTCCCAGATCCAGGTCAGTTCACACTGAATCTGATAAAACACCTTCTCTTCTGCTGCTGATCTAGTGGCTGCTGCCTCTAGACTGGAAGCTGGGATGTTTATGGTAGCAGGTCTTTATGTCTTACCATATCAGGAAATAACTGAACTCCATTAAGTATTCTAGAGCAGGAAAAGCACTGATATCTGACTATGAAGGTTAAATTCAATTTCCTACATGGGAAATTCCATGAATTCCACATGGATTAGGACCCCAATAGTTCAAGGACCACCTCTTTTTTATGAATCTACCTGTTTCAGGTAATCAGCACCAAAGGCCATTCTCTGTGTGTCTCCTCTGAGGGAAGCTTGGGAGTAGCCCTTTGTGGGCATGGCTTTTCTGTGAAAGCATCATGTTTACAGAAGACTCTCCACATGGAACTTGCCTGGTAGTGAAATGGTCATCTTTTTGGTCCCAAGCAACAGTATTCCCAAGCATTTGGACATTATGGCCCAATTGTTGTGGAGTGCTTTTGTGGTGTTAATTCTAGGCTGTGGGGGAGTTTGAGAAAAGAGAATTTGTGTTCTGTAGATAAACTTTTCACATTGTACTGTTTTTAGATTAGGTTTCTACTAGGGGTTTTGTGTGTTTGTATTACTGTGCAGACTACAGTTTACCAACCAGTTCCTATTGTATTATTGATTTCTGAATTTGTGTAAGTCACTTTGAGACTGCTTTCTGCAGTAAGCAGAAACACATCAATGTATATAATAATATATAGCCACAAACACTATCTATGAGATTTGAACAAAAAGTTCTCTCTTACCTGTATAAGATATCTGGGGTCCACATTTAAATATGGAGACAAAGGGTTCATTCCAGTCACTGCAAGATAAAAAGTGCAAAGCCCCAAAATAACTTTGATCAGTAGTCCAAAACTAAAAGTATATCAATGTAATATAAGGAAGGGCTAACACACAAAAGAATATATATGATTGTTTTCATGCCAACTCATTACAGCACTTCTGGACAAACCCACAGTGACTTCATTGCCTGCATCTTATGAATATTATACTTGAAATTTAAAATGTTCCAGATCAGTATGAGGACTGTTTTTAATAGTTAATGTTCTTTAGAAATCAACTTCTAAGACCTGAATGTCGGTGAATGGAAAATTTAAATTATACATTACTTAACTAGGATTACTAGCCACAAAGATAATTTTGCTACAGAAGCCTAAAAACCTGTTGGGTGCAGTGAACAGGGGAAGGGGGGAAGGGAAGAGCACATGCATGCATTTCAAATGAATCAGCAGCACTTCAGTATTGAAGACTATTTCCTCATGCCATATATTATTTATTTATTTTTTATTAAAACATTTTTATGCCGCCCCATTCGCCAAAGCCTCAGGGCGGCTTACAACAATAAATTAAAATAACATTTTAATATATATAAATTAAAATAACATTTTAATATATATACATTAAAATATAAATATATGATATAAAACATACAATATAAAACAAGCCGCCCTGGCCAGATAAAATTCAATAATATTAACATTTAAAATACTGCTTAAATAAAAAGGTCTTCGCCTGGCGCCGAAAAACAAATAACGACGGTGCCAGGCGGACCTCTCTGGGGAGCGCATTCCATAACTTAGGCGACACCGCTGAGAAAGCCCTCCTCCGAGTAACCACCCTCCTAACTTCTTCCACGGAGGGCTCCCGGAGAAGGGCCTCTCCCGCCGATCTCAGGGGGCAGCTGGGCATATATGGATGTAAGCGCTCCTTCAGGTAACCAGGACCCAAGCCGTTTAGGGCTTTATAGGTCATCACCAACACCTTGAATTGGGCCCGGACTTCAATGGGAAGCCAGTGAAGCTGACGGAGAACTGGAGTCATGTGAACATAACGTCCAGTCCCCGTCAGCAGCCTGGCAGCTCTATTTTGAACCAATTGAAGTATCCGGACCATCTTCAAGGGTAGCCCCACGTACAGCGCATTACAGAAGTCAAGACGGGAAGTCACCAGCGCATGTGTCACTGTCCCAAGGTTACATCTTTGCATTGTGTGGGAATATAAATCAGAATGCACATACTGAAAAAAATTAGTGGGGGTGAGGAAATTCTTCTTAAAGGGCTCAACATTAATCAGATTATTTACATATTCAGACCCTTGGACACCCAGGGGCTTTAGGGGAATACCCATTCCAGGTGTTTTTCCCAGGGTAATTCTTTGCTGCTTGCCTTTAGTTGTTCTAAACATTTTAGTGTTTGATTTTATGGTGCTTTGTTACAACTTATTACATTGCTTTAATGAAATGCTGTAAACTGCCTCTAGCTTTTTGGCAGAATAAATTATGTTTTTGTTATATGCCATCAAGATATCTCTGATTTATGGCAACCCTATGAATGAAAGCCCACCATAATGCCCCATCTATGGCCCTGCTCAGCTCTTGTAAATTCAAGAAGGTAGTTTCCTTGATGCAGTCAATATTGGATCTTCCTTTTCTTTTTCTGCCTTTGCTTTCCCTAGCAGAATGGCTTTCTCTGTAAGCCGCACAGTGCCTTTTTTAGTAATTGGGACGGCATACCAAAAACACAAATAAATAGACATATAAATGGTCTTCTCCAGGGGGTGTGACTTTACGATGTGCCCAACCCGTGACAGCCTCCGTTTTATCATTACTGCTTCTAGAGAAAGCTCTGGCTTCATTTTACCTAAGACCAACCTGTTCATCTCTATGGAAATGAAATAATTATACATATGCGAGGCTTGAAACCACCATCGAGTAGCCCCGCGCCGTTTCTATGAACGCCCGATCGCGCCTCGCGGGGAAGAGGGCCCCTGGCAATGGAACTGACCCTGCTGGCCGGCGGAAGACTGCACGTCGGCGTGACAACCCTGAACGGAAGCGGAGGCCTCTTTCATTCTCGGGATGGCGAAAACAGATACTCACAGGACAGGGAAGACAAACCACGGGGTAACTTTCCAGTCAAGCGCTGGATGACCTTGAGGCCACCCCCCCCCCCCCGCACCCAGCAGCGTCCTCGCGTGGCGGCTGCTCAGCCTCCCCCACCACAAGGGTGAGGAGCTCCGTCAGGGAAAAGGAGAAGCCCAAAAAGGCCGCGCGGCCGACCGAACAGAAGGTCGCCCGACGTCGCATACTCACACGGGACGCCGGCCAGGTCCGCATGGGAATAGCCCGCTCCGCCGACTCCCCCGGAGCCGAACAAGCCCCCAAGGCCGGAGCCCTTCGTATTCCCGGCGCCCCCCTCCATGGAGGCCACCCTCGGGGAAGGCTTCAGCCGCGACCCCCGGTGCTCTTCCCGCCCTCGGCAAGCGACTTCCCACCGCGCGGCCAAAACGGAAAAGGGGAGGCGGCGCGGCACCCGGCTGCCCAACGACCTCTCCACGAGCAAGGCCGCAGCAGCCGTAAAGAGAGGCCTCGCGGAGGCGGCCTTTTCCACGAGCCACGCGATAGGCTGGAGTTGTTCTCCGTGCCCGCCTCTGCTTCCGCTTTGCGACGGTGGCGCGGCGCTGCTCCGCTTTCCGGCTCGGCGTGGGAACGGAGGGGCGGAAGCCGGAGGGGCGGGCGCGAGCTACCCTGTCGCCTCGAGCAAGAGGCGGGACGCAGCGCAGGACGGGCCGGGCTGGGACGGGACGGGACGGGACGGGACCGGACGGGCGGCCGCCTTCGCACGGGCCCCCCTCGGCAGCATCGTTCTGCGGGGCCGGCCCTTGCCGCCCCCTCGGGAGCTCCCGCAAGGGCCCTGGGCCGGGCTGGTTCTCTCTCGCAGGAGAATGTGGAGGGGAAGCTCGTCGGCCCCCCTTTCTGCCCGGGGGGCCCCGTCGGCGGGGCCCGCTTTCCGCCGGGGCTGACCCCGGCCCCGGTGGGCCTGCTTCACACCCTCGCACCGGGCGGGGTGGCGAGGCGAGCCGGGGCGGCGCGGCGCGGCGGCTCTCCAGCATGAGTGCGGGCTCCGAGTGTGAAACCCCCCGGAAAAGAATTCGGCTGGGCCCCTTCTTTGCTTCCTCGGCAACGACCGCCGCCATCCACAGCAGCCGCGCGGAGGAAGGACCGGCCCCTTCCCTGAGGAGAAAAGCGACCCTGCCACCGGGCAAGCCCCCTCTTCCTCCTCCGTCGGCCAAGGGGGAGCAAGGGCCCCGCAGCAGCAGCAGCACCCCCAAAGGCATCCCTGTAGTCACGGTGGGGAACAAAGGTGTGTACCGCCGTCCGTATCCTTTTCCCGGTCTCCTGCTTCGCCTGCTTGCTGGTCCTCTTTAGCTTTGCGGGTCTGGGGCAGCCACCTTTCCTACGTGGTTTTTGTTAGTGTAATGTCACAGTGCTTTAATACGTTTACAAACTTTTTTGCTGCTTAAGATCTCAGTATAAAGGCTCGTCTTGACTTAAGGCCGGCTGCCCGAGATTCCCTTACAAGGCAACCAGGCTGTTCGGGTAAAGTGGTACTTATTTTCTGAGTAGGGTTGGACAGTGAAAGGGATAATTTCAGGGTAGCTAATACTGTGTTTCATATGCAACCATTGGTTTTAAAATAGCACAGCTAGTGGTGATGTAGTAAACGTTGACTGTGGAAGCTGGAAATCACTCTTCCACCTTTCGAGTGTGACAGTCTTAGGAAATAGGGCCTCATGTAATGGGAGGTGAGCAAAGGTAACAGATGCTGTCCATTCTGCCTAGATATTTAAAATTTCTGGACATTTTTGAAGCCATTGGGGGAATTTATGGGGGTGAGATCTGGGAAAACACAGAAATTTGGAGGAAAATACACAATACAATATATTGTATTTGAATTTGTATTTGCTATGAGCATAGTATTGCATTTATATTGATTTTGATCAAGTATTCTTGAAAAGAAGCAACAGCAGATTCTCAGTAGCCTTATTTGAATTACATATTGCTCTCTAAAAATTTCAGTTGTATTCGATTACATTTAATTTCAATATTTTATTCTTTTATTAGCATTTTTGCTGCTCAGTTTCTGGTTACTTTAGAGAATTTTCATTTTTTGGTACTGTATTTAAAAAGTAATACACAGAATGCTATATTATGTATATAATGCTTTTTATTTCTGCCTCAGCAGTCCCCAAAATTGTCCTATTCTTGCTGGTCCCCAGCTATAACAAGGTTGAAAAACCACTGCTTTAAAGTTCAGCTCCTATCAGCCTCAGGGAATATGACCCATGGTCTAAACTCTTGCAGGAGGAGGGCTTCTTTAGGGAAAATAAAGCAGCATTTATAATCCTAAAGTTGCATGCTTTATAGCTTGGTTTGGCATAACATTATCATACTTAAAAGCTTCTAAATGTAAACTCAGGGTCCAGTCCAATTAGGGTTGCCTGTAACCCTCTGATCATATCTTCCTTGCAAAACAACTCCCTGGAGTGCTCTGGGGAGGTGGGAAGGATCCTGGTGATCCTCCTTGAAGGCATGGCATTTTATAATACTGTAAGCAAGTCTCATGAATGGTTTTGGAAAAGGTTGAATTTTCCCTTGAAAGTTCTTCTTATGTTATTGCAAAGTCTTATATCTGCACTGTTTTGGTCAATAATTTTGCATTTTTATTTCCAAATTGATAATATATCCAGTTTAAGTAGTATGTGACTTAAATTCTTTAAATTAAATTCTACTATGACTAATTTATCTTGTTTCATTCAAAAGATACAGTGTAGCTTGGGACTATGTGATTTCTTTTGCTCAGATCTTTCTATTTCTTGGCATAGATTCTGCCTCACTGCTAGTCTATGCTTTTTTTTTTTTTTTTGGCATGGTTGCTTTCCTAATGCGATAGTGTCCAGCCACTACTATGATAGTCTCTGAAACTTGAGCTAGATTAACCTTTTGGCTCGAATTAAGCTTCTAAAAAGCCACCAGTTCTGTATCAACTCTGTCCATTACTTCTGTATGAACGAATATATTTAGGTCAAAGTGCCTTTGTGGAAAACATAAGGTGCAAAGTGCTCTCTAATCAAAGCACCAGAAAGCAAGTCTAAAGTCAGGAAATTCATCTGTGAAGAATGTTAGAAGCTGAATATATTGGGTTGGATCTAAACTTAGTCTTGTTTAGGGTAGATTCCTTAACTAAATTAAATCCCATTTGTATTAGTGGGTCTACTCGGCATGACTAAATCTAGATTCAGCCCATATATCTTACGATTTTCAGGTCATTTTCTGAAAGCTTCCTGTTGCAGTAAAATATAGTGTGTTTTCCCCCCTTTTTTACAGTTTACAAACAAAGGAGGATTACCTCTTGGATGGATAATAAAGGGCCCAAAACATTGGAGTCAAAAAGGTAAAAATAGAATTGTTTATTGGAAAGGTTTATATTACTGCTTAACTATTGTTTTTTAGTATACTGCGTATCTTAAGGAAGCCATGACAGCTCTCAGTCCCAGCTGTTTTGCTTTCTCATAGATCTGGACTAACTAAGGTTTCATAGAATTAATGACAGTGATGTGGCTGGGAAGTAAAGATTCATGCTGAGCACAACCCAATGCAGGTTGAGCCTACTATATGGCAGTGAGGATAGCAAAGAGGGAATTCTTGGTGTCATCCAACAGAGCTTTTCTGAGTGATTCATAGCCTTTCACAGTCTGGGCCAGGGCGAGAGATGATGGAGACCTTGTAGCATTCTTTGCCATGTTTCCACAACACTTCACAGATTAAGCCAAAACATTAATATACATTTTGTAGTCATTATCTTCAGATTCTGTTTAATGTATGACGATGCTTCTGTTCATTCCACTCCTATGCCATCCAATAATCAAAGTTACCTGGGTGGTTTACGAAGATTAAAATCTTAAAATATAGTATAACAACATAATAAAACTATTTACATACAAAATATAAAGCAGTTTTACACAATCAGCAGTAAGAATCCCAGGACCTGTTAAAAGTCTTATCATATGCTTTCAAATACCTGGGAGTGGAGGAAAGGCCTAACGTGGTATCAAAAGGTGGCAACGTTAGCACCAGGTGGATTTCACTGAGCATAATGTTCTATCATCAGAAGCCACTTTTCTATTTGTTGCCATTCTCCAGACATCTCTTGAATGACTTGGAGAAGGGCCTCAGATGATGATCTGAGTATATGAGTAGGCTTATACTGGAATCAATTTTTGTTGGGTATTCAAATCCCAAGCGGTGTAAGGCTTTTGCAGGTATAAACCAACAATTCGGCCATAATTAACGTTGAGCCTAATAATGCAATTGAGCCAACATTTGTGTTATACATTCAAATATTGGTATAATTATTATTAATAATCATAATAAAGTTATGAATTGCTTCCCATGGAATTAGGCAGTCTCTAAATGACACATATATGAATCATTAATCATTAATCCATAATTAACAGAATCTTAGACACAGTTCAGTGTAAAGCACAATAATGCAAATAAAATAGTTCCTTGAAAAAGAAAAGCAGGATATAAATATAATAAATAGTATAACGTATCATGAAAACAGTACCATATGAAATGTGTGCATACCATATACACAAAATGTTCAGCTCCATCATGACTCAAGCACCACAAAAGCAGCACCCAACAACTGGGCCATAATTAATGTTCAAGTGTCTGAGAAACTCACCAAGAAACTAACCATTCTCTGCTAGAGGTAAGCATAGTCAGATGGCAGTTATCATAGTTCCTATAACGACCAGTCAGGATGGAAGCAGTTTAGGGAAACTGGCTACTGGCAGGGGACAACAGCTCTGCTTGGTTCTGCTGTAGTCTCAGGGAATGACTGCTGCTATGCTGTCGTATTCATTCAGGCACAGGGAATGTGTGGCCCCAGATGTTGTTCAGCTGCTGCTCCCATCATGCCCCACCATTAACCAGAGCTAGAGTGGGTAGAAGTTTAAGTCCAACAACATCGGGAGGTTTACAGGTTGCTGTCTCTCCCTTGGACTATTATTAATTCTGTAATGTGTGAATACCCCTTTATTCAATAGGAGATAGTCCCTTAAGCAGAAATTACACCAAGCAAAATGAGCATCCTTGGCAAACTGTATATATCGAAGTGTATTTAGTGTTTATAGCAAAGTATTTCAGACTTAAGGTCCTTTTTACCACAAATTATGATTTGCTGCCATTAATTTTGATGCCGTGCTTTGTGTAATAGAGCAGTTTCATCATGATTTCATGTTCACCCATCTTTGCTCCATGTGCACGGGCTGCTATATCTCACTTGGTTGCAAACATTCCCATCTGTCCAACTGTTGCATGGTATGCAATTTGTTTTCCTTCAACCTTAATGGAGATAGAGGAGAGATTTCCATGTGTGTGCTATAGTGCTGATTTGTTTGACAGAGTTATTCTCTAGAGAGTACTGTTTTCAAGCTTTAAAGGTTCATTATGTCCAGGAGAGAAGGGATGTTGCTTATGCATACATTTTGGTGCTACTACAATACAATATTATAAGGACAGAATCAAAACCCCATGGGGAGCAGACAGTAAGAATAATAACTTATATTCATATTTAGTTTATGAATCATTACTGTTGCACAGTTTGACACATTTTACACAAAATGGCACTGCAGAGATATAATTTGTTCAATATATCTTAAAGACAGTAATAACATAAGCAATTATCAACAATGAATGACTAGTTTTACAATATGCGTATATACTCAGAATTAAGTCCTGTTGAATTAAGCTAAGTATGTATAGGATTGCAGCCACAGAATAGTATGATCTGCAAATGATTTGTTATACCCATACCTCTTTTGTAAGTAGAAATTCTCTATATAAGCTAATCTCAGTTTCTCTCATTTTGTATACTGGAATTGTTCTTAAAATTCAGATAAAGAACTGGTCTTTTGGTGTATTTAGTTAATTGAAGAAGTTCTGACCTGAAAGTGTCTTAAGCAGAGATAATTTGGTAAGAAGTCATGCTTTGACTTAGGGATAAAAGCCTCAGCAGATTCTAGTCTCAAAAGCTTAAACTGAAAAGAATGCTATAGATCAGGTTTGATGTAACTTTTAAACAGTTTATAGGAAGATGGATATCACTTCTAGTATTAACATTTATGGAACAAACTTTCATTTGCAGTAGTCTTTCTTGTATTCTCCTTTCACAGCTTACAAAACAAAACTAGCAGCACAGAAGCAGGACTCAGAATGGCATTTGTTAAGAAAGATAACGTTTTTGAAAATGATATGAAAAAGGTTGAGGATGTTCTTGAGCAGGGCTGTTCAAGATTATCTATGGAAATGAGTCCCAAACATGTGGCCTTACCTCAGACTGGTCCCCTACATAAATGGGAAGCTGAAGGGACATGTAGAGGGCAGCTTTCAGAAGCTGAGTCTATGAAAGTAACACAGACTTTAGACCAGTTGAAAAATGCTAATGTTAATTCAATGCACAAAACGGGCAGTCAGCCTCATCGGGGCTGCAACGAAAACAGAGAATACTGTACTCATAGCCAGCTTACATCAGGCAGCCCTGTGAAGGTGGCTCTTATAAAACAACCCTCAAAAGAGTTCAATCCAGAAAGACAAGTGACTTCACAAAATCCCCACTCATTTAAGAACTGGAATTCTGAGCGTGCAGCCTGTATAAACGCCGGGCTAGATGAAGTGGATGTGGTGCCAGAGAGTCCACTCTCAGATGCAGGCTGTGATGCTTGTTCATCTGATTTGTATGGTTCTCAGGACAGAGATCAAGCATGGTTGGGGGATTCACCATCTTTTGAGAAAGAAAGTGAACCAGAGTCACCCATGGATGTAGATAATTCCAAAAATAGCTGTCAGGGCTCAGAGGCTGATGAAGAAACCAGTCCACTTCTTGAGGATCGAGAAGAAGTTGACATGTCCAAACCACCAAGCAAATCTTCACGGGTTCGAAGGGCAGATTCTGATTTGGATTCAAGAAAATCACAGTTTCCTTCCCGGAGAAGTGAAGGTGCTCGATTTAGCCTCCACTTGGAAGGGGTGGATAATCCATTGAAAGAGGGTGAAACACACACTGAGTCATCTGGGAACTTGCCTCTGTCATCAGAATGCAAAAGTGTCAAACACTGTGGGAGAAAGGACTCTAAAATTACTGCCCATTTCATGAGGGTTCCCAGGACAGAAGACAGAAGGTAATCTCATTTCCCCCTGTTTAATTGGCCCTTTCCTTACTGCATGCTCCAGCTACATAGCAATTAATGTTTTGGGTTGTCTTTATAGTTATCAAATTTTATCAGCTATGGCAGTGAACATTTAATGTAAATAAAATTGAAAAGTTCAAAGTCCTTCTTTGTTGCGGTCACACATGTGGGTGCTGCCTTCACAGTACCTATTCTCGGGAAGATTCTCTTCCTGAATACAGGCTCTGACAACACATTCTCAAGTGATGTGTATGTATGTACATGTGAATTGCCATTAAGTCAATGGATATATGTGATACAGTGCAGATCCTGCATTTTCTCTTCCAAAAAAGAGTTTCTATAGTTTCTATTGTTCCAGTCTGTAAAATTTGGAGGAGATTGTTTCCAATAAATGCCAGGCTTGTTCATACAATCCTAGCAGCTTAGGTTGCTGCTTTTGAATGTTCTTAAAAAGAAATCTCGAAAGAATGCATACATTTGCCACTAAAAAAATATTTAGCCAATCAGAAAAGCATGCTCAAGATATTAATTTAATTTTTTCATGGCAGGAATGAGCAAAGTGAACTAAAGCTGCATCGACCTGGAAGGAAGACTCTCAAATATACCCCTCCTCCACTTCCAACTAATAAAAAATGGTTTGGGACACCCATTGAAGAGATGAGAAGAATGCCGATCTGTGGGACACGTCTCCCTCATTTGAGACCTTCGGCCAATCATACAGTGACAATCAGAGTATGAAAGTCAAGTTTCTTTTCCAACAAAACTATTCATACAAGACTGAAGCTGGACAGATAGAATTATTTTGACAGAGGGCAGTATGCAGTGCTTTTGCTCTACTTACACTCCTGATGTCCTGTTACTGTAAGGAACCTCTAGAAGTCCAGGTTTTCTGGGGGAATTTGTGACAGCTTGTACTATTGGCATCAGTGACTGACTGATGCTAGTGGCATGTCCATATTGTAAGCAGACAGTGGTGCTGGATACTGCCCAGGTCTGCAGCATTAGCAAGCAGGGGAGTTCTTTAGGTCTTCATCAAAGAAGGCCCTAGAATTCAGAAAGAGCAATAGCTGGGAACTGTGTGTTGCATACATGTACAAACATTAGTACTCTGTCACTGTGTATTTTACAAAAAAAGCGGCTTCAGGAGTGGGTGATCGCAAAAGTGGACAGGCAGGCACTTAGCCACTTGTGATACCACTCTCCGCGTGACCTGCACAGTGGTATAGTTTCACATGCCCCAGGCGCTCTCCTCCACATCCGATATTGCTCTGCTTCAGCTTTCCTGCCACTAAGCTGCTTTTCCACCCATAACATTTCATATGTGCACATGCCTTTGCACATGTACATTAAAGGGTGTTGTTTTGTGTGCGCGTGTGCACATGTGGAAGAAGCCACAGTGAACATAATTTAGAGCAGGGAAAGGGCAGGTGGAGGAACAGCTGAGTCCTCCCTCTTCTTTGATACCAGTTGCACCCATGGGAAAAGACTTTTCTTTTGGGGGGGGGGATAGTGTCATCAGGATTCTAATGTGTTTGCCCATAAAGTTTCACAGTGCTAGCTCCAGGCTTTTCTATGCCATGAACAAGACCCCCTCAGTGCACCTTTCCCCAGTGAGTCTACTTCTGCATTGCTGTTGTTAACAGTTGTTAATTCCTCCTCGCTGCTGCTGTTGCTCCTGCTTACTTGGTTGATAGGCAGAGAGCCACTGAGCTGGTAAACCATGGCACCTGTTCCTCCTCTTTTTCGTCACTGCTGTTGCCTTTGACTGAGAGGTAGATTACAGTGGTAAAGAGGCATCGAAGATCCAGGGTGCTCTTGTCCGTGCTTGAGGATGTTCCCCCAGATAAACCTACTTTTAACACTGGCTCTGGTAGCTCATAGTGCTGGCTCCCTGCAATCCATGACTTATAAATTGGGAACCGGCCCAAGTTGCTGTGAGCAACACATGCATCAGGGAAGAGGTGAGAAAGACAGGTGAGAGAAACAGGAGGAGATGGCTGGGAGAAAATAAGGTTTGGTTCCCAGGTGAAATACTTGTTCTCTGTCCCCCTCTTTCCCCTCTATGAGAATATGTGAGTCAAGTGCTTCTGTACAATTAAGCTTTATGCAAAGGCCCCGCTTGTGCTGTTGCTCTCCCAGGAAAGGAAGAAATGGAACTTCTGTGCAGTTAGGCATCACGTAGCCTTGAGTTCATGCTTTTTGAGAAATGTGCTGGATGGGGCAGGCACTGCATTCACCCACTCCTCTATTCACCAGCATAGGATCTGAGGTAGAGAGAGGAATGGGGAAGGGGCAAGAAAAAGAATATGCATCAGACACTTCTTGCAATATGTGCTCATTCTTGTCTGTGCTTCAGTTTTTCAGTAATATATTCGATGGCATTACTGAAAATTGGTAAGCAGACTTTTATTACCCAGATTTGTTGCGACAAAAATGCCTTTCTACTTTCAATTTATTTATTTATATTGCAATTTATATCATGCCTTTTTCCTACAAAGGGTTCAAGGCAGCTTACATCATCTCTCCTCCATCTTATCCCCACAACAACAACCCTGTGAGGTAGATTGGGCTGAGAGTCTGTGACTAGCCCAAAGTCACCCAGTTGGCTCCATGGCTGAGTGGGGACTAGAACCCAGATCCTTTGAGTCCCAGTCCCATGCTCTTAACCACTGCACCATACTGGCTCTCTCACCACACTTGGATTGCTTTCTATCAAGGAAGTGTTTAAACTGACACACACACAAAACATGAAAATAAAAACAGCATCAAATACACTGAAATACAGGCAAATGTTAGTTGTAACTAAGTCCAGCTGGTTCGTTGTGATGTCTGAACTCAGACCATTTCCTGCAGGGTGTCTTGTTTTTCAGCACTGGGCCACCCTGACAATCCAGGACTTTTTCCAGGGTTTCTACAACTCACAATGTGTTATTGTGCCATCTGAATCTGGGAGAACAATTTCATTGTGCCTTGTGGGGACCAGTTACCAAGTCACTCAGCAAGTGTGACAAAAAATGCTCTTGATATTTGCATGTTTGCCTTTACTGCTGCCAGTGGCAACCTCTCAGCCACTCGCTACACAGCCATTTAGAGCAGCAATCATTGGCTTGTCACCCCAAAGACTAAGTTTCAGGGAATTGCACAAATGGGCAATTCTAGAATCTTTTGTTTTGTTACAAAAGTCCACAAAGTGTTGTGTATGTGCAGTCTGGCCTGGTCAATTTCCTTCTATCTTTCAGCTGTCAAAGGGAGCTGAGAAGTGGAATAGGTAACATACAGCTGCCCTGAAGGGAGTGAGGGGGCTCTGGTGTGACTGGAGTAAGTGCTGCTGCTGGTGTGCCATTTGCTCCGCCCTGCACGGTTTCCCACTGCTTTTGGTGCACCTACTTTTGCTGCTACCCTCCACTTTTCCAGTGCTTTCAGTCGACAGATTGGCTATTGCTCTTGGACAACTGTGCACAAATTAAATGTGATTTTGTCAATTTCTATGCATGTTACCAACATTTCATCTGTCTTTGACAGCTGAAGCACATGAAGACATTGATTAGGTGAGGCTGTACATATTGGATAGCCATAAAAGCCCACTTGTAAAAGCCCACTATCAAGAATACAACCCTATGGACACAGTAGCAAACGTTCCTAGGTCTGAAAAAATACAACCTCCACTGTGCAATTTATACCCCATAATTTCAGATGGACAAAGGTAGTAATCGTGGGGAGAGGGAATCGAGAGCAGATCTGCCTTGGAGGCAGTGGGATACCACCTGGAGGGTGGGGGGGGAGGGGGGGAAAGCGAGGCCCTGTGAGCCTGATCATGGTTCAGCAAACAACCCATGCTGTGTTGCTTATTCATATAATGGACTGGCACATAAGGCAAATTTACCCTTTGCTACAGTGTAACTTGTATGTTTATGCATATTTATATTTCAGGTTGAAAGAGTATTAAATTTGCAGCTGATATTAAGAGCAGAGATCATTTGTTTTGGAGAAATGTGGTATAGCACAATTTACCTGTCTTCTCTGTCACAGGTAGATCTTCTGAAGGAAGGAGAAGTGCCTAAACCTTTCCCAACACATTTCAAGGATTTATGGGACAATAGACATGTTAAAATGCCTTGTTCAGAACAAAATTTATATCCCATAGAAGATGAGGTATGGAAAACGTTTAAGTTTTTACTCAATAGAACTCTGTCAAGCTCACATCTGCCCAGTTTTTTAGATGTACCCTAAATTCATATTTGCCAGTGATTGTGTTATGAGAAGATTTGTTCAAATATGACAGCTATTTATGATACACTGCCTTGAGAATTTAGTTTAGTGTGTAGATCCACTAAATATTAGCTGAGTGCAGGGCAGCTCAATCTCATGCATGTGCTTTGTAAATCTGATTTCCTAGCCCTGGTAAGAGTGTCTGTATTGTGAGGGTGAAGTTACCATAAGCCACACTTCACATTGTGTCACACTTGATTCCTCTGAGAAGGTTATTGCTATACTCCTAGGCTGATGTAAGTGCAGAGGCTGCAGAAGTGGTTGGTTTCAAACTCTCCTACCTCAGCATGTCAAGAAATGAACATGCGTGGAGCTAAATAGTTTTAATGCTAGAATACTGGACTGTCACCAGGCCCTGAAGCTGTGGACGGAGTTGGGATTAAATTATTGGACTGTAAATTGACACTTTTTAAAACTTTTGTTTAAATTTATACTTCAGTTTATCCCAGCTCCTCAGCACAGTATTGTACAGTGTGAGAAGGATTTCCAGAGGCTCACAATTCAATCACACATAATTCAGTAGAGGATTTTAAAACATAAAATTGCTTTTCTAAGTTAGACCAGTGTTCTTGTAGTAAGTCCAGCATTCTGTTGATAGCAGTGACCAGGTGCCTCTGAGAAGCTTACAAGCACAGTACAGAGATTATGGTTTTCCATGTTTGTTGTAAGTACCTGGTCATCCATTATACTGCCTGTATGCCTGGGGGCTATATTTTACTGTATGACTAATAGTTATTTTCCTCAATGAATTTGTTGCATTTTATTTGAAAAGCCATTTATGTTAGTGGTAATCACCACATAAGTTAATTATGTGTCTTGTGAAAAAGAGCTTATTTGTTGAACTCTAAACCACTTTCAACCAACTTTGCTGGGGATATGACTGTTACTACTGAATGATGTTTTAGACAAACGTGACGTTATCATACTATTTGTTTCTGCATGGAAGACCATTGTCATTCTGCTGCATGTTTTATAAAACAGATGTACAGCATATTTTTCTTGGGTCCATAAAACTATAGAAAAGTTGTTGAGTGCTGTGTTTGCTTGTTTATTGCAGCAACTGTGTGAAGGACTCTTTTAAACCCTGGGTGATTGTGAGCAAGCCTGCATTCTGGGGCATGTTGTTTGATGACTTTTGCTTGGCTTCTTCTGCCAGCAGAAGCAGTTGAACAAGCCACTGATGTGCCCCTCGCTCCATTTTGGTTAGTGTTGCTGAGTCAAAAAAGAATAATATTCTTACCATAGTCCAAATTTCAATATAAAAATGTCAGAACAAAAACTACCAAGGTCACTTGGTAGGATAATACAATAAAATGTCTGAAGATGTGTGCAGAATAGATCAAAGTGTTGCCGAAAGATGAAACATTGCTATAGAACAACTTGAAAATGTTACAATCAAAACCTATATATACAGAAAGACAGATGAAGTTACTTATTCTAAACAAACCCAGGTGTACCATCTAATACAGATTCCAGAAATAAATATCATGCTCCCATAGCATATACTAAAGCAAAATTAATAAGCAAAATTAATCCAGAAGCAACAGCATCTGACTATCAGAGCTCTTAAGAACTAAAATTATAATATCGTTCTGTTATAACATCTTGCATTATGATGTTATAATTTTTAAAAAGGAAAACAACATCTGATCTATTCACTCAGCAATCATACAACTCATTGTATAATTTAGAAATGGTAAATGGTATGCCAAGTCTGCAGAAGGATGCTTTCATTAGAAAATTCTGAATGGCAGTGATACATCAAAGAGTTAGCCCTTGAGCTTATCCTGTACAACCAATAATAACATTAAACACCACCACCACCACACTGATACCTATTAATCTGTAGAAAAGTAGGCAACCATTGCCTTCCTGCTAGCTTTCTGGATCCATACTGAGAAACCTCAAGATGACATACAAATTACTTCACTTAACTGTTATTAATGGTTGGGTAGCTCTGTAAAAATGTAAACTAATACATTCTGTATCCCTTAAAGGTAAATGCGCATTACTTAACTCCCATAACATGCACTCCTCCTAATCTGTACAATACACAGTACAAGTTAAAATGTAACTCAGCAGTAAAATACAACAATGCACATCTTTTCGTGCATCGCAGACCTGAATTTAACAGAGATGAATCAGCAAGAAAATAGGTATAATCTCAATAACATATTCATAAAACTGCAATCTGATATTAAATAATTGCCATCCCAGTGGCATCCTTGCTGACCCCACTAAGTATAAAAAAGTTCAAATGTTTTGATCCAATAAATATCCCTTTTATTATATAATTCTTTTCCTTGGCCCCATTTATGCTTTTGACACCAGAACTTCAAGCTTTTCTCATCTGGAATTTTTAATAGTGCTTGTTATAATACCCAAAATGAGCTACTCCATAATAGTAGCACAAAGTAGGCAGTGATTTATATTTTAATTCTGCATTTTTGTCTTACTGAGTTTCAAGATTGACTGAATCCATTTAAACTTAAATCTAAATGTTTCTTCTTTCTACAGAATGGTGATCGGACTGCTGGAAGCCGATGGGAATTGATTCAGACTTCACTGCTTAAGAAATTTACCAGCTCCCGTGATTTGAAGGTAGGCCTATTAAATCAAAAGCTATAATTAACTAAATACTTGTTAGTTATTTGCTCCAGGCCTGTGTGATACATCTAATATCCTATTTGTCTCTTTCCACTATGAGAATGATAGCAATTATTTACTGATGCAATTATATATGGGTATATATCATGGGGCCCGTAATGTGCTATTCAGTACCACTTTTTATGCTACCATTAAGCTGTGAGAGATAATTATATTGAAGCAATTCTGTCACAAAGCCTGTATTAGAATATCACCCCAAGTTTACCTTCTGGCTGAGTAGTGCAAAAATGTAAATAGCTGCCCAAAAAAGTTGTAGTTGCTGAATGGGGAAACAACCCTTATATAACCCATGACCTGCTGTTTGTCTATTTAAGGACAAGCCAGGTCGGGTAGCAGTAATTTAGCAAATTTATTTATTAATTATTTGATGTATAAGCTGCCCCACTAGCCGCAGGCTCTCTGGGCAGCTTGCATCGTATTAAAATCCTTAGACAGCATAAAACAATATAAAAGATGACATGATAATACACAATTACAAAAGATCAATAACAATCATAAATAAGCTGTGAAAGTTCAATAGAACCAAAATTATAATAATAAATTGAATATATATAGATTAACCCTCTAAAATAAGGCAAAAACTATTAAAATTTAATCATATCAAAATCTAGTATTTAAAACATATGGGTAGCAGCTCATAATAACATAAATTAAGATTAGAACATCAGTAAAATTCAGAATTCACCTAATTAAAATAACTATCGAACAGGCATGTCTTTAGTTGTTCTCTGAAGTCCTAAAGAGTAAGTGCCAACCAGACCTCCAAGGGAGTTGATTTCCAAAGTTGGGGCACTGTACTCAAGAAAGCTCTCCTCCTTCATGATGGGGAGGAATGCAGAGGACGACTTTGGATGAAGATCACAGTGACTGGGCTGGTAGATAGATCAATCAATTGATCAATCGATCAATCCCTTAGATAGCCTGGCCTCAGTAGCATGTGCTACGGCTTAAACAAGCCACCAGGCTGCCTTGATTGGGTGAACTAGCCAGTCAGTTAACGTTAAAAGTTGACGTTGAATTTTAAACTGTTAATCAAGAATTATAACTCTGAACATCCATAATTCTCAGGATAGAGTAGTCTCCATACAGGCATCAATGAGAGCTACATTTGCTTTGGTTTTATTTAGTTACTGTATTTTGTACTAAGTCCTGAGACCCAAAGTCTGGTGATGACAAATTTAACTTGGTTTGTGGAAATTGACATATTATTTGCAAGTCACTGATTTTCAAATGTATCAGTAGCTGTTTTCAACATTTTGTGGTTGCCTCCCTAAAATTGCTGGGTGAGGCAAAGAAGTGCAATATTACAATATATTCTTTTATGAATCAGTAGTTCTTTGGCGAGGGAGGATGACGATTATTTATAGGATTGAACTTGGACTTTCATCTGTGTGATGCTGAATAGAAGATAAGTTTCACCAAAACTTGCCTTGGATTCTTTACAGAAGTTATCTGCTTTAAAGGGGAATAATTATTATTTGGTGTCTTGTACGCCTGTAAGAGTATAACTAGTGATGGCAGATTGGTTTTAAGGTATTTTGTGGGGGTTGCCAAATAGCTGTAAAGCAAAATAATTAAAATAACCTCCTAGTTTCACTTGCTGTAAGATAGGCCAAATCCAGGAGAAAAACCTCCAAATGCCAACAGAAACCAGACATGCTGGCTCTTTCGGGACTCCCCTCTCACATCATTGTTGCCTGCAGACAGGCCCCATGTCAACTTCCACTCTGCTTGATGAAGCTTTATTTAGCAAACTGGCCCCACTATTTTTCCCCCTCAAACTCCGATCCAGTAAAATTTATCATCTACCCTTATTGTATATCTCATTACAGGGTAAGCATTTAACAAATAAGATCTTTTGCAATTTCAACTGACTACTGGAAATTAAGAAAGGAGGGAACTTAGAAAGAAGACACTTTGCCGAAAATTGGACTCCTTAACTTGAGAGTGATACAATTTAGCCAGAAATGTTCAGAGCTTCAGCAGAGGTCCTCCTTTCACCATGGCCACCTTCAGAGGCATTGTTGGTGGTGCCCAGAGGGAGCCTTCTCGGACTGCTTCCAGATTATGGAATAGCCTGCTGAGGGAGGCCAGGTCTCCCCGCTCTCTGCTGTTCTTGTAGCAGGGAAAGACCTTTTCATTCAAGCAAAATTTATTAGATTGAATACAGTTTTTAATTTGTTGCTGTGCTTTTAATCGTGTTTGAATATATTAGTTTTGAATATGGTATTTGTCAAGTTTTATTTGTGATTGTAGATGACCTTTAACAATGGTGGGATACAAATCAATCAATCAAATTGCTTTATTCAAATGAAGGAATTTGTGAACCACCAAATTGCTCTTGAAACTCCTGTTGTTTCAGGAAGATCCAGTTGTGTACATTGACCAGTGTGTTGGGCTCATGGGTAGGATATGCAAATTAAGATCTTTTTTCCTTGGATCTTACTGAATGACATTGAAGAAAAGTTTCAAGGCAAAGGTCCAAAAGGCACACGGAAACTGAGTCAAAGAGCTTCAAACATGAGCTTGTAAAGAAAAGCTGAGTACAGCTAAGTAACGTAAACACAGATTGAGTATTTGGCACAAAACCTTCTCCAAGGCTAAATATGGATGAGCTTATGCCGGCTGGCAGCATTTCCTGTTCGAAAGCTCTGATGCTAAATCCCCAGACTGCATTTTAAACTTAATGGAGTCTAAAGACCTTTGGTGGTGTGCAGTTGGAGGGATGTGTGGCAAGGAAATACTAGATCACACTCTTCTAGATACACTGTGACAACTTAAATCTATATAATAACTTGTCCATATAATTAAATGTATGGTTAGAAAACCTGAATTTTAAAAAGACATGAATGATATTAGCACAAATGAAGAGAATTAGACTATAGAGTTTTCGAACCACTGATTTCATTAAATCACTGAAGCTAAAACGTAGTTACATTGGCTAAATGGTGCTTCATGCCATTAGATATTATTTTCTCATTTCAGGAAAAAGTCTAGTTTCCTGCAAAATAGATCCTTGTTAATATTGCAAAGGAAATAAAAATACTGTAATTACAGTTACCTGATTAATGGTTGGATTGGCATCTTCTAGGAATGCATTAAATATAGGAAATTCTGTCCCAGGGCAAAAGGAGTTGGAATGGATAATTAGATCTCTTGCAAGAGTAATCTGGCCTTTCTCTTCTCTTCCAGCAACAGGATAGTTTTGGTAAAGATTGTTGTAAAATAAACTAATGCTATATATTTGGCTAAGTAATCTGATACCAGCAGAGGGCGCTCTTGCTTCAGAAACAAAGTTCTCCCATGGCTCAGGTTTTTGCTGTTTTTTCTTTGGTAGGAGGCTATCCTCAGATATAACATTGCATATGCCAAGAAATGGGACTTCACAGCTCTAACTGACTTCTGTGATAAGGTAATAAACACTTACTTGATCTTGGAAAGTGCAAGAGACGATTTAACCACCTTCCATGTTTTGCCATTATATGATTTCTTGGTTTTATTTTCATTTAATCTAGTTTATGCATACTATAAACAAGTGATTAATAGGACAGAGGAATGAACAGATTCTGTGACTCGGTTCAGGCATCACAGCAAACCACAGCTAAGCAAGTTTAATGTGGTTTGGCATGAACTGTGAATTCACAGGCCATGGTTTGTGATTGGCCCAGAAGCCAGAATCAGAAAGCTGTGATTTGAAGTGAGTTTGCAAACCATAATTGCTCCATCACCAGAGGCTACTGCATTATTGAGATGGGAATCTGTTTATGAAACTGTTGAGAGGATGGAAAACAGGACAAATTTCTCTACATTATGCTTTGCCTGAAGTATACTTGGATGTCAAAACCACATTTTACATCTTAAACTAAGCTGAACACAATCTTATTTGCCATAATGTCTCAGTTGCCCATATTTCATATTCCTCCTGTAAGATTCATCACTTAATTAGGTATTTGGTAGTATTGGGGAAAAAAAGGTTGTTCTATTAGAAAAACCTTTTGATATGTTTCTGATTCCCCTCTTCAATACTGAAAAGTTGAAGGGCATGATCACCACCTATCCCCTTTTTAAAAATAGTATTTGAAATGAATGTTAGTGAACTGCAGTTATTTACAAGCTGTAGTAATGAATATAGGGAGACTCTTGGAAGTTCAAAAACTTAGAGAATTAGGTTAAAAATTCTGATTAAAACATAAGTTCCATTAATTAATTTTATTTACAACCTGTATATACTGATCCCCTTCTACATAGGTATTGTTCACATAGGTATTGTTCACATAGTGAACAATAAGAATATAAAACGAATAAAACACTATATTACAATAGCATCAGTTAAAGAAACAGTGGTTGGTCAAATAAGAACAGCAGAGGATCAGTTAAAAAGAGTGGGTGGACAGCAAAAGGAAAAGATAATAGGGAAAATGTGTTAAAGATGGTTAGATGACTTCTGATTTATTGGAACAGTACATCATTTGTGGAGTGAAATTAGAGTAGCACCCACAAAGGAGTAGTGGGCATTCTGGTGAAACATAAGCACTGCCAAAAAGCTCCAAAATATTCATCTGGCCCATGCCATAACTTAAATTTTTAATTCTTTATTTGTGGGTATGCATGTATAGACAACTCCTCCAGTGACTGACAAACTGTTTGAAACACTTTTGTCTGCTTCTTAAAATGTATATATATATATAGTGCAAGCAATTTTTAGAGGGAAATGAGCTGCTTAAAAGACAGCTATAGGGTTAAGTAATGCAAAAGCTTTGAAGTATTCCTTTAATTACCAAAGCAGCTGCTGAAAACATTGTGGTTCCAGAGTGTGCTAGCCACTGAATGGAAATGGAGTTTCCTTGGGGACTAAATGGAGATGGTTTAACCTGAACCATGCCAGCTGGAATGAAATACAAAGTTTGATCTCAGTGGTACTGCAAACTGACAGAGCTTTAACCGTAGCTGATTCTTTGACTTGTTTGTCTTCTGTTCTTATTAAGGCAAGATGTTTCATGTAGAATTAGCTTTCTTTTGCTCAGGAGTATAGTAGTTCAAACCAGAGAATGGCCTGGAAAGGAAATAGGGAAAACACAGTTTAAAAAACAGAAGTCAGATGCTTTGTAGACTATTAGTAAAAGAACTAGGTTCGAACCCAGGGATTCTAGGAAGCTATATGACTGTGATTGTGCTTCAAACAATAGAATGTGACCTCACTTCACAGATTCCATGGGTCCCTCTGTCTTCTGAAATCTGATTTATTTCTTAATAGTAGGAAATCAGAGGAAGACTTTAGCTCTTGTGACTGCATACAGAACTCTCAAAACACATGACTAGCTTGTGTGTCTGTTTATATGCATACTGTGCATTTCAACCCTGAAGGATTCCCAGAGCAGGTAACAAAATTTAAAACAACAAAAACAAAATAGGCAGTATAATTAAAACAGCATAGTGAACAAACAACTGTACATCAATTCAAAAGTACATCAATCAGAGCTGGCAAAAATTTTAAAAAATAGGCAACATCTGAAATGCCAGAGCCTTTGGCTCTGAAAAGACATCACAATTTGTATCTGGGTAAATGGAGTTTACATCTGTTTCTTTACTTGTCTATACGCACCGCACTTCACAGTTGTTTTAGGGTTTGAAATCTGAATTCCCCATTATGTATTAAAGAAGTGTGATTCTGCATGTCTGTTTAGTAGCAATGTATTGAGGCACCATTTGTCCATGCAAAATTCCAGTGTGTCAGTATGCAATTATTTTGTGCATCTTTTTAGCCTATCAAGGATCAGAAAGGGTTTTATTTGTGTTCTGTTATCCCTGGTTCCACTTCCTACAGTAAAATGGGCAAATATGGATTCAAAATTTCTCTGCTTTTCTAGGAGATATCTTCTGCTTGTGCACAGATCACATGCAGATCGTATTAGAATGTTGCATAAGAAAAGTGAAAATAAATCCTAGCAAGTGAATTGGCTTGTGCTGTAGAATAACTGCTGTAGCCTTGTGCCGAATTCTTCATTAAGTTTATTTTAATGTATTATTTTCATCATTGTACTCAAGTTTTTATTTATTGATGATCATAAACCACCGTGAGTGCTATTTTCTCAATAGAAAGGTGGGATATAAATGAAATGAATGCATTGTGCAAGTTTTTGCACACGTGCTCTAGAAGTTCTTTGGTTTTCATTCATTGTACCCCGGGATCAAATCCATGTGCACTAACCATGAACATATGAATTACTAAAACAATTTTTAAAATTCGGGTTATAGTAGTAGAGTAGTAATTGGTGAAATACCAGAAATGGTTTGGTTTTTAAAAACTGCAGTGCCATTATTGTCTTCCTTTTACCTGCTGCTGAAAACTGGAAGTAATGGACTGTATTTTATGACTTCCCTGTGCCACGTTCCACTAAATTAAATTCCAAACACTTATCTGATAATTTATATTCCTAATGTATCAGTTCACTTAATGTGGTTTTTCCCCCCAAAGGAATGTATGATAGATTTCCAATATGTTACAGAATAAAGGTCATCAGTACTAATGAGCATTTCTGGAAAACTTTTAACTTTAATCAAGCATTTGGTTTTTATTCTAACAAAGATGCCAGTGGTTACATAAATGAAAGATAATTTGAGGAAGGAAAAATACTTTTCTCCTCCAATCCACTATGCACAGCATTAAGTTAATATTATTTGTGTTGTAAAGAGTATTTTTAGTGTATAATGTTACTGCTTTTCAGTCCTTTGCAGATAATGACAATTAATTTTGTGTTGTTGCTTAACTGACCCTGATGAATGTGCACAGTTGAGCCCTGATTATTCTCAGTCGTAAATAAGAAATGGAAGAACCTTTGGCCTGCAGGCCATTAAGGGTTCCAGCCCCTTTTTAATTTGGCTCTCAGAGATAGTCCTGTAGCAACCATTAATGAGACACATAAGGATTTATTTTTTATTTTTATCAGGCCCCAGAGAAGATGTCAACAATAGTTTTTAAAAAGCACAGGATGAACTTATTTTAAGATCTTTGGGAGCCCCGGGGAGAGGATTAAAACCATTTACAGTCCCAGATCTACCCATATCCCCTTGCCCAAGTGACAAATTCAGAATAATGCACTTCTCTCATCTCACCCAGCACCTGTCCAGCACACAGAAATGAATATATAATATATTGCCAATACAGAATTAAGATCATGGCCCTGAATTTAGCCCAGGTGCACATTTGGGCAGAACATTCAGTTTCCCTGGTGCCTCCTTTTTGGACTTAGGGTGTTTGCACCCCTACTGTATGATTTTCAAAAAACAAAGCATTGGGGGAAGACCACTTTGAATTGGTGGAACTGAACTTACAGAGCTGCTATTGAGAAGAAATACTGGGTTTATGGTAAAGAGATGTCAAACCTTACGTAGGTATTTTGTTGACATTTGGATGATACTAGAACGTCTTTAGTTCCTGCTTCCCCATTTGTCAGAGAGGCTACTATGTTTCTGGAATGTATCTTAGAAATGATAAGTTTAGAAAAATAAAGTTGTTTTTAAAAGCAATAGAATTATGATTAGCCCACCTTGCATGAAAATATGGGTAAAATAAAAATATTTCCCAGACTTGTACATCTTGTAAGAAACTTTAAAAAACATATGTTTCGAAAAGTTTTTTTTAGACTAGATTGTAACTGAACATAAAAACAGCCAATGTGGCCCAGCTGGGATAATATAACCATTTGGAAAGACCACAGAAAGGGACCTTTCTAATATGTTGATAATGTGCTTCTTTATCATCAAAATTCATTGTATAATTAACTGATCTTAAAAAGTCACTTGAAAAAGCCCAGGATATTATTAAAGACCCTGTTTGTATATATTGATGGCAAGTATTGGCCTGTGGTGTGTGCTGAGCACCTTTGTAGCCAGTGTGAATATTCAACTTCCAATCAGCCCAATTAGAAGCTGAACATTCAGAAAGGTAGTACAACCTGCACAGAATGTGCCACAGTGATTTGTGGGTTAGTTAGCCCACAAACTGCCATTGCAACATGCAGGTAGCCCCATTTCCCAGCCTTTAAGGTGTTACAGCAGCTGCTAGCTTAGGTTTTGTATTTGCAGCCAAAGTTGGAAACTCTACTGACAACAGAAATGCATAAAAGTGTTTCAATATACCAATATGGTTGTTGATTCTTCCTAAATATAAACAGGCTGTATCTTGTTTTATTTGCTGAAGCACGCTTAAAGAGATAATATTAATGATTCCTTTTGCATATTGCTATGGGAGCAAGGCTTAATTTTCCTACATGTGCCCCTCAGTGCATCTGCTTTCCTTTACCATCTGTGCGGCTGTTGTTAGATATTTAGATCAAACAAGTGACTGTTTAACAAATGCCAAGACACTTACAAAGCATTTTCTTCAATATCTGTATGCCTTTTAATGTAGCC